AAACTATAGCTATACTTAACTATAGTATATAGCAGATTTCTAATATAGATAGCTAGTTATAAGGTTAATAGCTAATTTGGTTTTAATCTACTACTTATCCTAAATTAAAATTAAATTTTTCTAATTTTTTTTTTGCGTTACTACTATAGGTAGGTACTTAATATAGTATAGGCTTATTCTTCTTTTACCTTTAATAATCTAGAAAGTAGTTAACCTTAATATAGAAAGCTTAGGTAAAAGCTTATAGAATTATTATACTTTCTAAATAACCTTAAATAATAAGTAAATTATATATATAGTAGATAAATTAAAATAGTAAATAAGAACTATAGTAGATAGCTATTAGAAAGTACTAAGATAAACTTATAGTAATCTTAATATTATTTATATATTATAGCTTTACTAATTAAACTCTAAGTTATTACTCTACTTATAAATTATACTTAGAAAGCTAAGCTAATTATTAAAAATTAGTAAAATACTAAATTAAATACCTTTAAGATAGTGCTCTTTATATACGTAAATATTAGGCAATTACTTTAAAGTTTTTATCTATAAGATAATAAAGTCTTTAAGTTATATTATTATACGTAAGTATTAGCTAATATTACTACTATTTAACCTAAGCTTTTAACCTTTCTATTAATATTTAAAAAGCCTTTAAAATCTGTTTTACCTTAAGATTTAGTCTAATTAGTATACTAATTAATACCTTGTACTTATTTTTACTTAAGTTCTAGTTCTTATTAACCTTTTAATCTATATTAATTTTCTTCTTATACTTATTACTATTATTACTTTATTATATAAGGTATTACTATATTAAGTATAGATATTAACAATTAGAAGTTTATAGATAAGTATAGGCTTAAGCTACTTATTACTATTAGTATATAATTATTATAAACGTTTATATTAAACTTATAACTTAATTTTACTAGCTACTATAGCTAAATCTTCTCCTATAAGCCTAGTAATAACAGCTTACTGCTTTTCTTTTTTACCTTTACTTTTAAAAGAATAGCTAATTAATTTTACTAATACTTTTTTATAAGTATTATATAAAATCTATTTAAAGGCACTACTATTACTATATAGGGATTATTAAGTATTAGTATAAGGTCTAGTACTTTTACTACTTTAGCCTACTTAGCTTACCTTTTATAAAATTTATTTATATTAGTATATATTAACTTTCTAGTAAATATCTTTTTATTTTTAATAAATACTATTATACTTAGATTTTAAATACTTATCTAGAGTTTCTTAGTAAGATTATATAATAAATAACCCTATTAACTAAGTACTTTGTTAATTATAAACGTAAACTTATCTTAGATTTTTTAGCTTTTTCTTAAAATACTTTACTTACTTTTTTTTACTTATAGTTATATTTTAATTTATCTTTTTTAGTTACTAAAAAAACTAATACTTTATAGTATTATTTATATATTTAGTAGTTATAAGTACTTTTCTTTTCTATATTTAGTAAAGTAGTTTAATTTCTCTAGGTAATAATACAATTACTATTACTATAGTTACCTATAAATAGCGTTATAGAATTTATTATATAACCTTATTAAGTACTAGCTTAGTAATATAATATAAAATAATTTAAACTTTATACTTCTTAAAACTAAAACTTTTTATCAGTAAGTATTTACTATAATCAAGATATATATCTAATTTATTAGTTAGATTAAACTACTTTTTATACTTTAAACTTATTAAAAAGTTATTCTTTTAGAGCTAGTAGTAAGCTTCTTATAAGATTAGTAGGCTTCTTTTTAATTACATTTATTATATATTATATAGTTAATATTTAAGATAATATAGTATAGGTATAGTTATTAAATTAAAGTAAATAGTAGGTTTTAGATAAAAGACTTAAGGTAAAAGAGTATAGGTAGCCTATATATATATATTACCTACTTTGTATAAATAGCTAACTCTTACTTACTTTTACTACTTATTATTTTAAATCTTTAATAAGCTTATCTAACTATTAATATACTTCTAATAATACCTATATATTTTATTTTTTAATTATAATATTTTTGATTTACTCTACTTTAATAGCTAAAACTAAAAAGCTTAAGATAGATACTACTACTACTAAGAAGCTAAAGAAGAATCTAGCTTTAAAAGCTCTATAAATAACTACTATAAAGAAATAAACTAGTAAAAAGTAGATATTAGGAATAAAGAAATACTAATAGCTCTTAGCTATAGCCTTTAGAAATTTTAGGAAGTACTAAAGGTCTACTAAGCTCTTTATTTATAAGTTATTATCTTTTTTCTTTATCTATAAAATTACTAAAGCCTTACTAAAAAGTATAAGTATATACTATTAAAAAAATATACTTAAATTCTTTTTAGAAGTAATTAAGTTAATTCTTATTAGTTATTTAAAAGATATAGTTAAGTTCCTTCTACTAATACAAGTACTATACTTACTTTAAAAGATTAAAATATTAATACTATTTATACTATATATGTTACTATTTAGTAAAAGAACTTAGTACTAGTAAGATATTACTATAGTAAGTTTAGTATACTAAAACTTTAGGTAAATATATAGATTTATATATTTAGCTTTATCTATATAAGATTACTTAGATTTATAGTTTAAAAATAACCTTTTATTTACTTTAATAATTAACTATAATATTTACTATTCTTAATCTAAAACTTACTAAGATGCTAACCTATATAATATAAAATTCCAGTTTTCTAAAAATATTTTAAGGTAGATATAATATAACTTAACTTCTACCTAGGCTTTATATAACCTTAATATAACTCTAACTTACAACTAGCGTTAAAATATTAAGTTTAAATTAGGTTAGAGTAGACTATATTTTAAGTTAAGGTTAGGTAGGAGTTTAGTTATACTTGTGTAAGACCTAACTTTTACTTAATTCTAATATATTTACTAGTATACTAAAGATACTAAAGCTATTTAGTCTATCTTATAAGCTTAGACTTTAGTTTTACTTCTATTACAATCTAGGCCTATTATAACTATAATAAATAGCTAATAAGAATAAAATAAATAGTAATAACTATATCTTAGTTTATAGTAATTTTAGTTTTAAATTATAGTTCTTCTTTACTATACTTAGTCTAAGTAGGTAAGGTAGATTTAATATATAATAATATATTCTATTATAACTAGTCTAGCTCTAATAAGCCCTAGTTAGGTTCTAAAGTCCTAAATATACTAGCTATTATAGTTAAAAGTTAAACTTCTACTTTATCTCTTACTAAGAGCTAGTAAAATATTAAACTAGTATAACTTAAGCTTATTATTTTAGGTCTATAGCGTATTTATACTTGTAGTATAGGCAGATAGACGTAATATAGTAAGAATTTAATATAGTAACTTAGTATAGAAGCTAATACCTAGCCTCTTTTTATATAGTAAATTTTAGTAGAAGTATATAGTAAAAGTAAGAAAGAGTTAATTAGCTATCTCTTAATAACTAGCTGTTTAATATACTAATAAAGACGTATACTTAAAAGCCTAGGCAGCTCTTATTTAAAGTTTAACTTAGTTATAAATATTAGATTAAATTATAAACTATAGCTAGGTTATAAAAACTCTTTAATTAACTAGTAATTTTAAATATATAACTAAAGTAACTTTAGTAGAATTTATAAGTAATAATAGTTTATATAGATAAGCTATTATATAAATATTCTTTATACCTTTATTTATCTATATTATCTTTCTTTATAACTATAATTATAGCTAACTAATAATATAACTCTATTAGCGTAGCCTAGATGTTTTTATACTATATCTTAAAGTAAACTAATAAGTAAAAATTAAAGTAAGTAATTTTTAGTACTAAGGTAGTACTTTAAATATCTCTAGTAAGATCTTTAACAACTTAGTTAAGTAGTAAAAAGAAATAAAAAGTATTACTTAGTATAATAGTAATACCTTCTACTTAAAAGATAAAAAAATTTTATAGTACTTTAAGCTTAATAAAAGATTTAGGGTATAGCTTTATAAAGTTTAAGTTTAGCTCTTTTTTATATAAGTTTATAAAACTAATAGAGTTTTCTTTAATACTTAGCTTTTAAAATTTAATAATCTTACTACTAAGTAGTATAATAATACTACTTTAACTAAGAATAAGAGCTACTTTAAGTAAGCTCTTAAAGATCCTAGGTATACTACCTAAAAAAAAAGAATTATAGTAGTAATCTAGAAGGTATAATACCTTACTACAGAGATAATTAATATAGAATAAGGATAAAGCTAGAAGTAGCAGTAATAGTAATAGTAATAGTAATAGTAATAGTAATGGCAATAGAAAGTAGAGGGTTATAACTAGGTTAAACTTTAGAATAAAGACTAATAATTAATTAAAACACGTATACAAAAATATAATAGTAACGTAACACATTAATCTCTATCCTCTAGGGATAACTTAGGCTTATATCTAGGCTCTACTAGGTTATATTACTTATAATATTTAAGACTTAGCTTTTTTCTACTAGTTTAAATAGCTAAGTAGATATTAAACTAGTAGTAAAAGTTACTTTAAGAGTAATATACTATTAATAGTCTTATAAATTTCAATATAATACTAAACTCTTACTAGATTTAATTTTTTTATTCTATATAGTAATTTTCTGGAGTTTAAAAGCTATTTTACTTTTTAATTTTATATTAAAATAATATATTCTATGTCTTATAATAGGTAGTTTTATTAGTCTTAAAAGATATGTAGTTTACACTGTAGCTTCTTTCACGGTTACACAGCGCTAAGGCGCCCTAGTATGTTTTAATTAACTGTTGTTATAAGTAGCTATTAGATTGTTGTAAACTAAAGAATATCTACGAAAATAGAGGAAAATAAAGAACACCCTGTTTTCTAATTAGAAGAAAGCGTTTTCTTGCCAATCAGGTCGCCAAGTGTGCCTGTTACAATGCAAGGCAACTGGGTGCTGCCTAGACACACACACGGACCTACCTACGAGCGACCCCACACCTTCAGTGGGCAAGCTCATGCTGGGATCGAAGCGAACAGGGGGACCCCCCGGGTATATAATGGCCGTTCCCGCTCGCATCAACTCCACGTCCTCCTTCACTCTCCCCCACCCTCACCAAGCAAAGAACCAACTCCAACATTGCTCCATCACGTTATAACAATCAACATGCGGCATTGTGAGACTGACCCAGATTTCGAGAGTGAGCTCTTCGAAGAGGTCAAGGCAGCGTTGAACGCAAAGTTTGGGGTTTCCCAATATGCTCTCCCGCTGCCGCTTCTCCTCGTCGATGTATTTGCGGAGACGCAACTGCTGTGCCAAGAACCTGCGGAGGAGACCATCGCCATTAGCGCCCACATGTCGGTGCGCATTCGTGCCTTTTACGAGCAGATGGCCGCTGCCTACAACGGGACCGAGGATCCGCCAGCCAGCATCGGCATCAAGCTCGAAATCCAGCCGCAGAACTTTGAGCCAGAGGCGCCAGAATGCCACCATCGCAGGTATCACTCGCGCCGCCTGCAGCTGCACGACCCCGAGACACTGCCAGATCTGCCCTTTGTGAGCAGCCTGACCATCAGGTCAAGGTCGTACGGCTCCGATGCCGAAAACGCGACAGACATACGCCCTCTGTCTCCCCTCGTGCCGCTGCAGTGCCTTGTCCACCTGCCGGCTGTCCAAGAGTGGAATGCCCCCTGGTTATGGGAGCGGCCCATGCCCTCCCCCATACCGAGTAGGGTGATGCGCGAGCACTACACCTGGCCGTGGGAGGGCCCCCTGCGAGACGCCCGCCACGAGTTCGGCGCCGCCATCATGGACCAGGAGAAGCACCTCTGCGGGAAAAGGATCCCCGCCAGTCTGACCAGGGCCTCACTGCACTTCTGGCCTTTCTTCTCGCTCCCCAAGCAGGACCAGTCCATGGCCCGGCCGAACCTGATCCATCCCGCGGAAAAAGACCCGGTGTCTGTCGGTCTGTGCAAGCTCGGTGCCCAGCTAAGCCTGTTCGATGTGCGTGCTGTCGTCACTCCAGACCTGTTCCCCAGTCCCGAGGCATCAACCGACCATCAGTGGTCACAGATGCGGCGATTCCGGCTCGAGTTTCATTCCCTCCGTCCAGACGGGCGGTGGTACTTCGTTGGCCCCGGTGGCGAGGATCCGCATGACTCTGAACAAGGAGGATACAAGATCTCAGACACCGAACACTACCCTCGCGAGACCGACACGGACGAGGACATGGACGTCGACGCCGAGTACGGCGACAACCCGGACAACGAGTATGATTACTATCTAGACATGTTCCGCACCGAGCCCTGCAGGGAGCGCATCGAGCCCCTGCTTGCGGCGTTTGCCAAGTCTCTGTCCCGCGACAATATGCCGAGCCTCGTGGACGCCGAGATATTCACGCACCTGTGGTGGGTTCCTTCAGACGACATAGAAATGAAGGAATATGGTCTGCCGATGAAAAAGGGCCACAGATGGGGTGTCAAGTTCATTGCTGGGCGTGATAGTAAAAAGCAAAAGGACGGCGATGCTGCTGCTGCGGCACCATCACCACCGGTTGTGCAGTGGCAGGTTGGTGACTGGAGACCCAGCGAGGAGGTCATGAGTTTGTTCGAAAGCCTAGGACGGCAGGAGTGGCTCGACCTCGAGTGGCACAGGTATAGATGTTCGGCGGGGCGCGACCTACTGGGAAACAGCGAGTCTTCACCCATATAGTCGGGCGGGCAACCAGAATCCTTTGTTGGGGATTTCGAGAACAAGTGGTCTGATACCTTTTTAGAAATGGCGGGTTGAACATGCGATTGCAGCAGCCGGGAGGGCAGGAACGTAAGCTCATTATCATCAAGTATCCTGAGGAGTTCCGCACATGGTCATTTCGGCAGATGCTCAAGATAAACAACTACTACTACTGCGTCTATTCCAGCCTGGACAGATCTCAAAATGAGAATGCAGGCTTACATGTCGTGAATGAACGTTCTTTGAACTTTGAGTGATTCTGTAGCAGTATTTGTTGTGAAACGTGAGGTGGTTGTGGTGGTGAAGAAGCGTTGGCCGATGACCGAAGCAAGCGTCCCTTGAGATCATGGCTTTGCCAGTAGCGAGGCGGTATACAGAAATGGCCTCCTGAGGAGCCAGGCGGTAAATGCTACAGCTGCAGCAAGCACAGTCCTTCCTCAATCACCACAGACGTCGCCCGGATTGCCCGAACAATAGTTTCTACCGCCAACAAACCATCAAATCAGAAAAGTCCAAAGTCAAGCTCTTTTCGAGACCAAAGAATACAGTAGTGCAATGAATATCTAGAACTACTCACGCAGCCCCTAGACCAAGATAAATAGGACTAAAGGTTCATTTAGTACAGGCTAATCCATACGCTCTCCAATTGCTGCTGCTAGTGGAAGTCCAACAAGAAGAAAAGGACAAAAACCGAAATATGATGGCAGGATATATAGACACTGTCTGCAGGGGCAACAAGGAAAAGTTCCCAGCGGATTAGGAATAGAGGATCTCGTTGACGATGACGTTGTCGTGACGCCGGAGCCAGCCCCAGATACGCCGACACAGTATGCCTGCCCCAGCTAGAAGTTGGTAATACAATCCTTGAAACAGCAGGGATCCAGGCGTAGAACTGATCGACTGGGTTGCCGTTGTCGCTGGCTAGAGAAGCACAGCTATCGCCTTCTGCCACGACGTCCCACTTGTTACAGTCGACACGTTGGCCGGTGTGCGTGGGGGCCGGGGCGGTAGTCTTGGCCGTCGTCGACGCTGTGGTTGAAGCAGGCTGCGAGGTCGTGGTGCTGATGCCCTGGCCCTCCCTGTACATGCAGTACGCCTGTCGCAGCCAGAAGTTCTCGGAACAGTCGTCGCTGACGGCAGGGTTCCACTCGAGGAACGTCGCAAGGGATATTCCAGCCTTGTCTGCGACGGACTGGCACGAGTCACTGCTGTACACGACGTGCCAGCCGCAACAGTCTTCCGGTTGGCCCTCGTGTGTGGCCGCTGGCGGCTGGGGTCCGGTCTCGGTCCCGGTGGGCTCGGGCTCCTCGGTGGTGGTTTGTGTAGGTGGTAGACCCCAGGAGCCGCAGTACCGTAGGCCGACCTGGAACACGCATGCTGGGTCCGTGACGTTTGTCGTGAGCGAGTTCCAGGCGACGAAGTTGTCATAGTCGACGTTGTAGTTGGACGCTGCAATTTCGCAGTTGCTGTTCCAGTAGCCGAACACGTCAGGCGAGTATCGGTACCCATCGTCCTTGAAGTGGAAGGAGCGACTGTCCTGGACGCCCGTGGCCAACGGGAGCTGGGTCGGTCTTGGGTCCAGGGTCATGGTGCCGTTGGGCAGCATGGTGGAGGAGACGCCGGTAAAGGACTTGTTGGGGTCAATGGTGACGGAGACGTAGTTGTTGATGTCACCGACCGCCTGGATACAGTAGCTCTCTTTGGCAAAGAGGTTGGTGTAGTTGGAGTTGACGCCTGCGTTGAGGAACGTGAAGTCATCGAGAGAAATGGCAAACTTGATAGTCACCAGGTTGCAGTAGTCGCCGGCCTCGACCTCGTACCAGCGGTTGCAGGGCATGTCAGATCGAATGGTAGTATTGGAGGGCATCGGAGCAGTAGTGGTGGGCGTCGCCGGAGGAACATCCGTCGTCCGGGCGGGTGGCAGCTTGGGTCCGGGTCGTTCGATGCAGAGCGTGGTGCCTTTCATCATGTCGAGGTTAGAACAGACCGGGTTGATGACAGGATTCCAAACCAGCAGCTGTGGCTCTGTCATATTCGCAGCCGTAGCCATGGCTTTGCACGTCGTGTTGGTGATCCTGAGACTACCTGAAGTTGGTAACTCGTACCAATGTATATGTAAGAACTTTTATTGAGATAGTAGCTTAGGGTTCAAGAAAGGGAAATGTATTCAAAGTCCACCCTGATATAGATACACGAAAAAAAAGGTACTCTATAATCAATGATAGCAAAGTATACATTACATACTTATACATATCACAATGTTCTACTTGTATGCAGAATAAAGAAACAAGGTTCCTGAAGAACGCGAATGAAGTTACTACTAACAATATTATAGATAACTATCTTAACTCAGTAGAGTCTTAGCACCGGTGGCGACTTACCTGTAAGTAACGTTAGTATTTCGGTAATTGTGTGGATTCGGTAATGGCGTGCATTATACGCACAGACACAGAAATAACGTTATTTAATCAACCTAACGATAAACCGAAACCTCTATTACAACTTATACTTAAGTTTGAACTCGAGCATCACCATTCATCTCTATCAAAGTCGTTTTGTTTTAGTTCCTCCCAAAGCTTTTGCTACAAGCTATGGACTATGTCCGTCCTTCTTGAACATCCGGTCGTAAAGCTATTAACGTCACTTATGTCTATCGTTAGCACTAGCGAGCTTGAGCACAACATCGGTGTGTTTCTTGAGCAATATCTCCAGGGCCTAGGATATACTGTCGAACGTATTCCCATCGCGCCTGGGTCTACGCGTCACAATGTCTACGCTTACATTGGTTCCTCCCGTAAGACACGCGTGCTTCTCACAGCTCACATGGACACCGTACCTCCGCACGTTCCGCTTCTTATTGATGGCGATACCATCCGTGGAAGGGGATCTTCCGATGACCTAGGCCCGCTAGCAGCTCAGATCATGGCTGCGGAGGAGTTGAGAAGGGAAGGGAAGCTTCGGACGGAGGGAGATATCGGATTGTTGTTTGTAGTTGGCGAGGAAAATGGTGGGCATGGGATGATTGCCGCAAATGATATGGATCTATCCTGGGAATCGGGAATATTTGCTGAACCAACAGAGAGCAAGCTTGCGAAAGGTCACAAGGGACAAGTGGCCTTCGAAGTCATCGCCTCAGGCATCGCATGGTAAGTTTCATTTCGAACCGAAACATCGTGTAGAACTGCTAGAGTTAACGAAACATTTGTTAGTCACTCAGGGTATCCTCACCTTGGCAAAAGTGCTACCTCGATTCTTCTTGCCGTATTGAACGACCTGTCTGCCGCAAGTTGGCCGGAGTCTGACCTGCTCGGTAATTCAACATTCAACATTGGAACTCTTGAGGGGGGAGAGAAACACAACATTGTCGCTCCATCGGCCAAGGCGCTCTGCGAAGTCCGCATGGTATCTGACCTGCCCGGTATCAAAAGTAAAATTGCACGTATAGTCTCACAGCATCCTGACGTAAAGTTGCAGTTTGTCTTCGAATATCCTGAGGCTCTCTTGGACTGGGAGATAGATGGCTTCGATGCCGCTCCAGTGTCCTTTGGGACTGATGTCCCTCGCCTCAAGACCGCATGCTGTGACAAGAGAGTCTTGTACGGACCAGGGTCGATCCTAGTAGCACATGGGGCGGACGAGTACATTCATGTTCCAGAGCTGATCAACAGCATAGCTGGATATAAGAAGCTCGTTCTTCACTTTCTTTACCAGAACTTGCGATATTGACACCTGACCTTTGGAGGATATAGGGCATAAAAAAGATTCATCTAGATACGCTTTCGATATCATTAGGGATCAAAGGATGATCACACATCAGATACTTAATCTTCCTCTGTGAAATTCGATTATAGAAATCTGTAGGCTATTCTGGTGCTCTTGATTGTCTAAATTTCTGTTCTTGACAGCACATTCCACGAAGTTAATTGTCTTATTTCAATTGTATCTTTTCTTTCCTTTTAATGAGTTTTACAAAGCAACTGTTTGCTTACGTTGGTCTCGTTAAGCGACTAGTAAAACGCCCTCTTCAAATATCCCAGACGAGTATTGAATCGTGCATGTGACCATGTTCATGATGTATAAGTCAAATTCTGGAGCATGCCATCCCACGACTATGCAAACTGTGTCCTAAATTGCGAGATTCAGCAGGTCGAACTCGTCACACGATAGACTGGTGGAGTATGTCCCGGGCTTACTCAGAGTCGTTGAAGAAGCAGCTACAGGCTTATTATGCATTGCCGATATTATTACGTATTAATAGATAACATGTAACCGTCTTTAATTGTTTACTCGAATAACGTGTTTACATCTTGTCTACATGGCGAGATCCATACTTATACGATCCTTCAGCCATATAGAGCTGGTTGGCTAGACTGGTACATTCCAAATCGATCCCCCTCGCCATGTGCGTTCTGGTGGCAATTGTAAGACAGACTGAAGAGTAGTGTAGCTCCAGTGAGATGATAATGGAATGAGTCAGTTATGCCTGTCGAGACAAGTACACATGCATGTCGTTGACATTCAAGGTGTGTCTTTCAGGTCCGTGGGTTAGTGCCTCTGCATCAAATGCTTGTAGTGCTCATGTCATCGATTAAGTCCAGAACTGTGACCGTTTGTACCGTGTTTCTAACGCTTATGTCTCTTCATGTTTGCGAAAGATGGTGAGAGGCAGCGCAGGTTTCGCCAATTGTGGCCAGGATAAGGTGATGGCCACTAACTGCGGTAGCTTTGTTACGAGCCGTCGCAGGCGCGGCCTGCAAGCGCACCACGTTGCCATGCCATTAATAGCACTTGTTGTGTCCGTGTATGCGTCGACGTCTACTTGTGTGTTGGTGATTGTCCCCGCCTTGGTAACAGGCAGAGCATCGAGACACGCAACCCTGTGCAAGTGAGGGCTGTTGGTGGCAACGTCGACCGCGTTGAGACGCGAACGCATTCAAGGCGACATAGGTCAGCGCGCCGCGGGCGGCATCGAGAGCTGAGGTTTGGTTGCGCTTCGTCTTCAAAGCCAATGTCATCAGTGACGACATAGGCGCAAATAGATGAGAGGGCAAGTTCGAATGCTTAAGGATCGCAAGGCGATATGACAGAACAGTTTCGCATGAGCTCTGTGCGCGAAGGTCGGGCTCGTGTCAGCAAAATCTGCCCGACTCGATATGAAGTGTTGTGAATAAGCTTTCAAGACGCTGTAGTCCATGGCACGGTGGTAGTTGTGAATGCTCAATGAGATGAGATGCGTTCAAGGCGTTGTCGTTCCACATCACGCTCAGCCCGATTCAAAAAAGGGTGGGGCTGAGTAGCCAAAAGGTCAGCTGATCAAGGGCCACAGAGTTCATGATATGCCTTTCTCCTGCCGCGTCCATCTTTTTTCCCTCACCTTCGCAGCGCGAGATGTTTTGTACAACTGCATTCACCTGTGATGATTGCTCATCGGGCTCTCTCACGGAAATCGGAGATCTAAGCGACGCTGTGGAACACGCGAAGAATTACCTGTGCTTCTACGCGACCGATCTACGCGCTCACCAGCCCCCCGCATATTACATGCACTCTTTCCCTCAGTCTTTTGGACGGCCAATTCCTCTCTCAAAAGAACAAACAAAGGCTCTAGGTTAGGTTATTGCAACATATATCATATCTTCCTGAACAGGATTGTGGGGCAAATGCAAGCCATTGTTGCCCAAGAGTAGCCAATCTGTGCTCACGGAGTCGCGACCATGACCATCCCGACCATGCCACGTCGCAACCAACACCGATAAGAACACGCAACCATAGCTCGAAAATAATTGGCACCTACGGGGACGATCGTGTTCCAAAACTTGATGTTGGCATAATTTGCAATGCAGAGGCGTCCTGCACTGCGCTGTATCAGCGATGCTGGCTGGTTGCCTCAAGATGCACCACTCATTTTCTGCCTTCGCAGGCTGCGCGCCAAATACAATTATATCCAATCCATCCACATCGGACTGTTGTTGGGTTTGCCCACACCGCTGAGCAAGAATGGCTCGAAGCCACAGCATTGCAAGCGATTGAATGAGTCCCGCGGCCGCTTCGTAAGTCAAGCAAACTCCCAATTGGCTTCAGTCGACCCTTGAACGGTTGTGCATAAAAATCAGCCACCCTATCGTCCTGCGACCCGTGTAAGTACAGTATGGCTGCACTGTTTCCAATTCTGATTCTACCAACTTCTTTCATCTCCGTCCAGCACTTTGAGCGATGAGTCTCAGCATTGATGCGCCCGGATCGAAGCGGCAAAGGCCTCTGGGTATGACTTCGCACACAGACTTTTACTTTCCGACAATCACTCCTACGCTATGCTCTACGTTGTCGAGCAGTACATCCGACTCTTGCTCCTGGAGATCACGCGAAAGGATTGATAGCGTTCATGAACCAGACGGCATAGAAAAGTCAGACGTGTTAGCGTCCCTTTCCGCCGACCCTGATTATAACAGCGATGACTCGATGGAATCCATCACAACTCCTTCGAGCGCAAACGAAAATGTATGTCTACAATTTGCCAACTCCATGTCAGGAAGTATAGAACCCACCGCTAGAGACAACCTGGAAACCTTGGAAAACACTTCTAGCTTCCAAACAGGCAAGCTTTGCAAGGCCTGCAAGAATATTCCTCTCCATGAATGTTTATCAGCACCCGTTTCCAAAAAATACGATGTGCCATGGAATCTAGACCAGAACCGTCACAGTCTCGTATTCTGCAAAAGCTTGTCCAAGATTTTGAAGAACCGTGGAATTTGTAAACTTTGCAAGTTACTGTCTAGGAGTGTAGAGCAGCCAGAGTACGACCTGTTGAAAGCAGCCCATATCAGAGATCACCTGTCCAAAGACGCAAAGTTCAGGAACATGGCGAGCTTCGCTGAGGCGATCAAGAAGAACAGCGACGGGGACGGCGAATGCGTGGGAGAGGCCGGTATCTGGCCCTTCGGATACGCTACAAATCAACAGCAAAATACCATCACAACGCAGCTTGAGGCGAAAAGACTCTTCACAGCAGCTGAAGACCGCGACATAAAAACGACGAGTTTGAACAGCGAAGAAAACATGTACGAATCCAACGATAACAATGACCTCAAAGATCTTTGTGTCGCGCAAGGTGACTCCGTATCTCCGAATTCTATCAACAAAATCGACAGACGTTTAGGCAAGATTGATAATACTATGCAAATAGCCAAGGAACAGCCGTCTTCAGTGCAGAGGAAGAGACGGAAGCGATTGCCCTGCATCTTCATGTTGAGGGTGTACCGAAAAGAAGAGGAGAAAGCGGGAGCGTTGAGTGTGCGCGTTTATGGACACGGAGGGGCATTACTGGCCCCACTGAAAGAGATATGTCATTTTAGTATGCGATTTGAAGGCGACGGAAATCCACGACGTTTCGAAGAGCAGATATGGTATAGCAGGAAACTCAGAGACTACATCGATATACGGTTCTTCAAGCAATGTATCACGGCGTGCGAATCAATGCACAGTCAAGAAGGTGGGTGCTCACAACTGCTGTGCGAACCGCCGCCAGCATCGACCCTAGATGGTCCAGTCACCCTTCGATTGGTCGATGTCCGGAGGATGCGTGTAAAGCTATTCTCTTTCCAGGACTTCACTCGACCTCAAAACCCCCTGAAATACGTAGCTCTTAGCTATCGATGGGGTTCTCCACCGTTGCGCGAGGGCTGGGTGAAAAAAGATAATCCAAACCCCGACGTACCGCCTTCAGAAAGGATATACTACGAGCACATGCAGACCGGAGAGCAGAGTTGGGACCCCCCGGGAGCTACCAAACTCACATCATACAACGAGACCTTTCTATCCATGGACGACAGCTTGGAGCATGCCAATGTATATATTTCGAACACCGTAATGGATGCTATAGAGGTTGTTGCACGTCTCGGTCAGCGATACTTGTGGGTGGATGAGCTTTGCACGGTAAGACCATCCGTACACGCAAAGTTTTGAAGACAAATGTTGACTTCAAATGTCCTCTCTATCAGGTGCAATCTGGTGATGACGAGGACAAAGACACTAATATGGAGCGGATGGATCAAATTTTGAACTACGCGCTCTTCACGGTCATCGTCGCTGATGGCTCCCATGCGGATGCCGGCATCAAGGGCATAGCTTCTAGGCGAGATGTTGGGCGGCAAATATCCGAGGACGGTATTCTTAAAAACGCGCGCATGGTCTTGCCTGTCAATATCAAGATGAGGTTTGAGCAGTGGGAAGAGAGGGCATGTGCTTTTCAAGAAAAGCTGTTATCGAGGAGACTGCTAGTGTTTGCTGGAGGCTTTGCAATGTGGCGTTGTAGAGGCGGGATCTGGAGAGAGGATGTCAACGCGCTGGACGGTGACAAAGCCTCGATATCGTTCCCATGGCTTCGCTTGACTTCCGTGCCACAACCTGATACGACGCCCTTCGCTCGAGCCGGGCTGACAACTCGCATTATCGATGAAAGTGTTCGCTTGACAAGGGTACCAGCAATGGAACAGTATATTGAGTGTGTAGAAGATTTTAGCAGGAGGACCATCGGAGGTAGCCGGGACGTTCTCAATGCTTTTAGAGGCCTGTCGAATATTTTGACGTCGAAGAGTCACCTCAATTCACCCATGAGACAGGGCTTGCCGAGCTACTTTTTCGACGTAGCCTTGCTGTGGAAGCCGAAGGAGCCTTTGAAGCGTCGACAGGACGAGTTTGACGATGAATCAAAGGCTATTCACCGCGCCCCGCCGAGCTGGTCATGGGCAGGTTGGGAGTCCGCAGAAGCCCGCACGTATTCCGGCGTCAATGGGGGAGCTGTTCATTATGACGTACCATTTGATGTTGGGGCAGGGGGTACGGCTTCGAAAACTGGCATCGTCCTTCAAATTTGCAAAAACAGAGTTGGCGAAGAGCGCATTCGACCACGTAAAGGTACATTTTACTGCCTCGATGGGGCACGGACATCTCTGCATGAACTTGGCATGTTCAGTGCGCCCGGGATGCAGACCATGGGCTTCAGGGATTGGGATTCATGGCAGCCTGCTGCCGCCCCCAAGCCAAACTTGGGAAACGTGATTCCTCTACTCGATGAGCGACATCTAGTGTTACAGACCGAGCTCACAGAGATCATCATCGGCGAAGACTGTTGGAGAACCAGCGTTACTAGGAAAGTTGACAAGGATGAGCATCGTACCACATTCTTCACGTCTGCTGACCCAAGATCAACATCGAGCGGTGGCATCTCCGACACCGCACCATCACATTCCGGTGTGACTATGGAAGTGTCACACGAATACTGGATCAACATCCCCGCTCAAAAGGCCGATGACCCATCACAGCAAACGAGGGCGACAGATGTGAAGGACAGGAAGTACGCACCGCCTCTGCTCTCAAGAGTCGGCGTGCTGAAGTTGGACGCAGACTTCCATGCCGGTAGCCTAAGAACTGTCAAAGCAGTTATTCTCTCTGAGGCTCAATACCTCGGCAATGAACCGACGCCTGATGTTCTGGGCTATCCTCTGTATAACATTATGCTTGTCCGCAGGGTTGGAAAGTTCGAGGGGCATTCTTTTGCGGAAAGAATTGGGACGGGCAAGATCTACAAGTATGCTTGGCGAGCTGCGAAGCCAGTCAATAAGGTCATTGTCTTGGGATAAGTTGGGTGTCAGAGATAAAACTCATGGAAGCCAAGTTTGAAGTAAAATCATTGTAAGATTGTTGCGAATTGGTAAACTTCACTTCGTTCTCATTGGCTCTAGCAACTTGCAGTATTGATTTAATCAAGTCATTCGAGGTTTGTGTTATCTGTCGTGATGCAATTATGTGCTCCTTACCTGCACTACACTTTTTGGCGCAGTGATTCTTTTAACCTGTCCTACGCTCACCTGTTATATTTGTTTAGATATCGAAAATCTTGATTACGATTTCAACTTTGATCTCAACCGCTCGAAAGAATTTCTACTTGACTGAGAAATATCGTGGATATAGGCGTCTAGTCTTCCAATGGCTGTACAGGCAGCGAAGAATATAGAACAGCAATTGTCGAAAATCTTCCGGAACTCGCGAGTAAAAGGAGAATAAGAGGATAAACATACCCTAAAAGGCATAAGGTTTGTAGTTTTTTTAGTTCTGGCAAGATCGTGAGGGGAGTACAAAAGGGACAAGGACGTACAATTCGAGAATCAGACCAGATTGGCGGATTGCCAGGAGCAACTTCCACGACAAACAAAAGACCTTGAGCTGCTGGAATTCTAGACAGGGAAAGAAAAGTTCAGAGTAGATGTGTAGACCAAAAACTTGCGACTCAGCAGGATGTGTCGCGACTCGGGACTAAACAAGGCAGAGATTGCCACAGGATGAGAAAGGTCTGGAGTCAGGGTTAATCAACGTCAGTTGGCAAGTAGAATACTTGAAATATCGTAAACTATGTTCTCAGCCTCATATTCCAATTGAATTTGGTCATAAGTGCGTTTTTTTGAATGAAAGTAACTTTGATTAGCCTGTTACCCTACATCACTTTTGGTCATTTTATTTAGCTTCGTTGCCTTGCGTTTCCACAGTTGCGAGAAGGCGGTTCTTCGCGGTTCCTCACATTTGTTCTTACATTCATTCTCAAGGGACATAGGTCTCTTGCCTCAATCAACCCTGTTACGTTTCTGATACTTGCCTAGTGTGACATCGAGCAAGCCTCCAAGAACCAGTCAAACAGCATTGGCAGTCCGCTCAGTTAAGTTAAATATCGAACTTCATTACAAGGCTGAACCCGCTCAAAAGGTCTGTCATTCATGTCTTAGCCATCTATTGCCCATACACAAATCTACACATCGTGGGACCTGTTGTTTCAACGTGCCATGGCTTGGAGTGTAGGGTTACGATGTGACTGCAGGAAAGCGTGAAGACTTCAATATACGAATTTAATCAACCTATTCCAAGAAACAACATATTAGTCAAATTAGGGTTTGAATAAGAACAGGCGACAACTCGAGGTCTTCATACGTCTATCGCTGATACCGTCGCTGTTACTGCGGACAAAGTGAGAGGAGGGGCGCAACTTTGCAACAAACCGGGAGTCTTTAGAAAGGATTGCGGCGTTGATGGAACGAGATTTGATGCGATCCATTCGGAAATGTGTGCATACTGAGATCACACGATTCTCGTATCGAAGGGAGTGTTCAATGCCTCATCTATCTTGGCGTTTCCGCTAGATTGGAACCGAGTGGATGCCTAATAGTAGTCATCGACAAACTGCAAGGGCATGATCGAAATTGCAGTGTTCTCGACCTATCATGATGCCTGTCATGACTGGAAGAGCTAGCTGCAACGGCTCACCGGCCTCCGATAGAGAAACTCCATTGACCTCAGGGGGAATACAAAAGAAGCGTTATCCTAATGTACTAGCTATAAATTTTCAATATCGGTCAGTCCTTGACAGTGACGGTCTTTAATAAATTCTTTTTCGGAAAGTTGCATACCAACGCACGTACGCAATTCCTCATGCTAAAAGCATCGCGATCATCTACATTCATCATGCGCCAGTCCGTTGCTCTTCTGTTTATATTGGTCGGCTCCGCATGCGCCGAGTCCGTGCTGACCTACTTCTTGCCTGGCGTTGGTTCGTTCGCCCCTGCATTTACTACCTTGTATGACAACCCATAATGCTAATCATTTCAGGCGAAGGCGATGAGTCATTCATCCTCGACCCTGTGGCTTCCATAAAGACTTCAAGCCCCTCGACCACCGTTTTCGCGCTCGGTTGCCCATCCTCGGTCCCCTCGCACACTACCTGCGACTGGTCGTCCTACGCTATCGACTACACCATCATCTCTTCAACACACTACGAAATTCACGTGACTGAAGATGTTGGACAAGTGTCTGCGGGTTATATGTGCGATTATAGTTCGCTGAAAATGACGTGTACAGTCAGTCAATCTGGCGGGAATGATGCTTTGATGGAGCCGTTAACAGTCGTCCTTCCGGATGAGGAAAATGGCCTGCAGTTGACCTTTGCAACGGCGACAGTTGTTGAAGAGGGAGTTTTCTCGAGCGGAGGGGTGAGCGCAAGTACTAGGGCTGCGGCGAGTACCACGGCTGCAAGCACGGGGTTGAAGACAGCTAGTGGGTCGGCGCCTTCTCCGACAAGTCTGCATTCTGGATCTGGAGTGTCGGCGACGGGTGCGAACACAGCTATAGCAAGTGGTTCTGCTTCTGTAGCTGTGAGTACTGGTGCTGCGGCGAACTTTGGCCTCGAGGGTTCTGCGATTGTTGCATTGGCTGGGGCTGCTGCTTTGAATTTCTGGTGATGCAACATATGTAGCTGCCTAAGAACTTTGAAAAGATTCCAGATTTGGTACAGTCAACTTGGAATACATGTTGATCTAGATGTAATAGTTATAAAATTAATCTATTTTTTACCCAGTTTTCAACGCTTCACACAATTCGTGGAAACGTTTTGTCGTAACTACCTGCTCAATCATATCTTCCGCTGATTCATCTGTATTGACCGCCTACAAGACGATTCTCTATGTCCCTTTCTGCGTACTATCACACCTTCAACTACGTGCGTACTTTCGTACGATGATCTTGGATTAACAATGACTTGACTGTCTGTTGCATCAAGTTTTTCGAGTCATTGATGACCGAAGTTCGACTTCCACTAACACCAAAAAGGTGTGCCATCAAGTGTGGTCAGAGCAGGCTGGTTCAGGTTAGATGCAAGAGTCGGAAAGCGATTACTACAACCTATAGCCAGACTTCAACCAATTTGTCTTCGAAGTTCAAGAAAACAAAGATTAAATTAATAGACCGTGATTGAAGGATATATACAAGACTTTTGGGCGTGTAAGTTTGCTCAGTCTTGGAGATGAGAGTGCTGATGCCTTGGTGTGCGAATATCTCCTCGACTTTGTATTCTTATCAGGATTGATCAGTAGTGTTAGTGGTCAAGTCTAGGAAAGCACGCGTATCATTTGAGTACTAGCTTGACAAACGGAGGAAGCTAGATCTCCGATGTACTCTGAGTATCATAACACGTTAATATCCTCGACAAATGAGTGATAGAGTAATGGTTGATCATATATGTGGTTTTCTCATCCCTTTTGAAGAAAGGGTGCAGATATAACACTAATATTTACATTGGAACGAAGGTAGTCTGCACATTCATCAATCTTGTATGCAGCATCATCGAGAAGCTAATGCCACTTCTCGTCCCCACTCGGTTGATCTGCACCGAGAACTTAACAAGTAGTTGCGCCGTTCGCAGTACCAGCCTTGTACGCGCCAGCCGCCGTATCGCCAAGGCACTGAGCTGTCGCACAGTCAAATCATGTACAAGGTGTTCAATGAATGGATTGGACTTACCAACAGTGACTATCTTCAGATTATTCTGTTTCGCCCAGTTAATCAACCAAGGTGTAAGAGTGTTTACAGTCGTGGCATAAGTTTCATGCATCAATGGGATATGTCCGTTGCCACCTGGACCCGCCTGAACAAACTTCTGCTCGCTCTGCTCTGGCGTCAGGCCATTCCAATCTCCAGCGTCGACATCATCGGTGATGACCCTGTACCCTAGGGTCTTCATGGTCGGCAGCACGTTGCCGCCCGTTGCGAGATATGGTGGGCGCATGTAAGTTGGCTTCACGCCAATGATGTTGATCAAAGCTTGTTCGACACGCGTCATTTGGGTTGTGAGGTCGGCGGTGGATAGGGAGCCGAAGTTAGAGGGGTGGGTCCAGGTGTGTGATGCTATTTGGTGGCCAGCATTGTAGGCATTTTGGAGGGCACTCTTGTAGTTGTAGATACATCCTGTAGGTGTCAGAGAAGGTCGATATGAGCAGTGTGCAAATCAAAAGTGCAGACGGAGAGATGAAGCGACATACCGTAAAGAGTACCAGTAACGAAGAAGGTTCCCTTCGCTCCTCCGGCATTGAGGGTGTCAACGAGCTTTTGCGTGTATTGGTAGGGACCATCATCGTATGCAAGCGCGATTTGACCAGGTGCTGCGCAATTTTGAATAACCTGTGGCACAATGAGAATGGGAACAGATTCTACAAAAATTGTGGTTCGAAACTCAATCTTGAAAAACTGCCATAAGCAGAAGGAAAGTCGACATACCACACCAGCTGCCGGGCCTGCTCGTTTGAACATCTGAATAGGATCAACGAGCGGGTAGGCAGTCGAGACAGCGACCAGGGACGCGACGAAGAAAGTTTTGATGCCCATGATGCTCTAGTGTAAAAATCCAGGTATTCAGTTGATGTATCTTGTTGCTTGGTGCATCTTGAGTTTATATACAACTTCCAATGATGGGCAGGGGAACTAATAGCGGGCCATGAAAAGCCTGTCTGCGCTTAGTTTGTTTACAGTAGACTACGCTATTTAGCCGCTGACCCAATTGGGAACTCTGTGATTTATCCGGTCTTAGAACGGGTGTCTACTATGCTCGGTTTGAAGGCATTGAGTCATGTCCTGGAGAAGATCTCAAATTAGATGCAGGATTGTGGGTGTCGCTGCGTTGGTGGAATGATGATAATATCGCAATTCGTGGCTGATTGTGATCCCTGCGTTTATGCGACACATGATGTGGGAACTGCATTGGGGTGTTTTTATTCTACGGGTTTTGCTTGAACGCTTCTTGTCAGCCTCATAGACCAATCGCTCAGAGCCTAGACGTACGCGAAGTTACATGGATATTGTGCTATCAGGGCAACTAACAAATGCAACGAGCTTGCCAATCACTCTATTATCCAGCATTATAGGCAAAACTCTGTGATGCAGTCATTCCACGGTCATGGGTACAAAACCATGATGAAACCGAAGCTCATTTTAATATCCGAAGGTGAACAGCGCGCGACGCACTCGACCCGGATAAAACAAAAATGCGGGGAAGCCGCTGGACCGTGGACTTTGATCCCGTATCGACGAAAGCGGAGATTAATGTAACCAAGAGGCAAGAAAAGAAGATTACTCATGACGCATTGATCTTGTGGCAATTGCGATGACTGTCGCTACAGCGCAAGATGAGAATAGGTCATGAAACCTTGCCAGGGAGCACAAGTCCTGAACGGCACATCTGGCCAGAGTCATGCTTCATCACTGACGCGTATCTGATCAAACAACAAAAATGAACGCAACAGCGGGGAAGGTGTCAAGGGCAGCTGAGAAGTCGTAAGGGGCCATGACACACGCAGGAGCAAGCGCTACCTAAGCTTGATGGTAGCTACGATGCTGGGCAAGGCAACGAAGGAACAAAAAAACATTGGGGCACGCCAGGAATCGAACACTGGATTCTCAGAAGGAAGATATCTGCCGTCTTACCATTGGACTACATGCCCGTTACTAAGTTTGCTGGAAGTACAAAAACATACGACAGGGTCCCTAGATTGTTCTGGGGATTAGTAAGCCGCACCAAATCGCCGAAATCGTCTGGGCACTGTGGTACTACAACGGGGATTCGCTAGTAATGCTACTGTGGCACGCAACGCACGGACCACCTATCCGTTTGTGCATGGGAAAAAAGACTGCAAAAAGACATACACGAGGAGAGCGAAGGTGGGTGGCTTGCCAATGATGTGTAAAGATATCGGTAATTCATCACATCAGTCACATCATGAACGCAATTCAACACTGTGACCAACGCTTTTCATCACCATCTACTGTTTAAAACTCGCACTCTGCTAGAATGTCAGATGATGAAGAGCGCCCTGCCCGCTTTGCTCATCCTCGCACACGGTAACCAGGTTTGCAAGTGGGAGTGTCCGCCCAATCTAAACCAGCAGCCACGCTCTACACAACACGTATGTGGTTCTCGCCTTATCATACTTCCTTCCTTACTTGCGCCGTGCCATGAAGCGCCTATGTATGCGCGGGGCTATCGTGGGACTGGAAGTGACGCGTTGAGGGCGCTGTGCGTCTTTGCATGGATGGAGGAAGATAGCGTGGCGCTGAAGTTGTCGGTCGAATCGACAGAGCTTGTTAAACCGTTAGTCAGAGGACGGGTGCAATCCTCACGAAGCGCTTTCGCATGAGCTCACTCGTCGACTGAGTCTCAAGACATCTCAGGTGGATTCGCGCCTGCTCTGACAGTCGTGAACAGGTCGGGCGTCGCATCACGTCGCATTCAAGAACCGGAAGGCTTGTCGGAGGCGGCGCTTGCTTCCATGATCGCGGACACATGGGAAAGAGCATCTGGATAGGGGTCTGGTGGTCACCATTTTGTACCGGCAGGGCAATGCGACTGCAGGAGATGGACCGACCCCTTTACGGAACGGATTTGAGATGACCATGACGTGAGTCTTGGCACAGCATGGCGCCCCACCTCGTCCCACATGGAAGACACGAGCCCATCATCAAGCAGCAACTAGTCCTCACACAAACAACACCACGCGCCCAACAGAAGAATGGAGAAGATCGCTGAGCTTAATTCACTCTTCATAGAACTCTCGGCGTGTGCAAGATATCGAAGATCGACATGTCGAGGTTGTTACAGTCTCTTCTCAGATGTGTGTTACATCTTACGCAAGAGGTTCGGTGGCGACATTCCAGGGATCTAACATGCACAGAACCGGCCATCAACACAAATGCTGGCAAAGCGACATCGTTTATTCAATCGAAGAGGGGGATGATGAAATAAAGTGGGACAGCGTAAAGGGAATCTCTTCTGTTCATGGCGCCTATATAGATCAATGATTCTTTTAGCACTGGTGGTGCCGTAAAGGGCACAGGTTTGCTAATTGCATAGGACTCGCGCAAGTCTCAGTTACGGACTGACCTTGACGTAGGTTTTATCACTTCACGACGACAAACGTCGCTCTCGTGTTCATCACACCGACACTTGAAACGAGGGGGATAGCGCAAGAGGCCATTCACTGACCGTTTTAGCATAATAACAAACGACATGTACGCTGAACAGCCAATTGAAGGCGCCAATGCCTACTCATCAGAATTCTGATGTACGGCAAGACTGATGTCAATACCGTTGAATTTAGTCGGCGTACTATTGAGGCTATGCAACCGAACACGAGCCCGATCGTCGCGCGAGACATTGTCATGGATGTAGGGCATGCACAGACAGAGGATGTCGATGTCGACGAAAGTATATTCGTTGTTCATCATCATGCGTATACAGCGAGTCTGGGCCATACAGATCTCATTACCCGGCTCAATGTTGGAATTGACTTGCAGATGCTGGTCGATCTAAACGCATTTGAGGGGACAAGTGATCAATACGTTGCTGTGTTCGAGAAGGTGGATTCGAGGTTCGGTCTCGGGCCATATATCCAGACCGTGAGAATCGCGCCCGCTGAGATGAAACGGTTTCGAAGGAGTGAACTGGATTGTAAGTACGTCTTGTGCTGGTAGTAACGTCGATGATGCAGTTATCTAAATTGTTGTATCAATCCCTGTGTCTTCACGTGGTCTAATTCAATCAACACTGATATCGTCATAGCTCACAGTTACATGTCCTGTGTATGAGAAGCATTGTCCTTGCAAGGTACACAAGTTCTTGTATGCCCTCCAATCTAGTCCTGATATCCAAGTGACGCTCACCACATTCCCTTGTTACTGCTACTGGCCGCCTTCCTCAAAGTTTCAACAGCAGATTCCCAAATTTTATTGAGATCAACCCCAAAATCCCCCCACGCCCGTTTGATGTCCAGGTTGATTGACCCGGTCCTTGAGGTGAACATGACGTCCGCACCGTTTTCGCCCATTCTATACATACCGACATGTGACTTCCCCAGTGTCAATTTGATAGCGCCTTCGAGAAAGAAGTTGAATTTGCAGACACGTAATGACTTCTGTTTTTCGGTTATTGCTAGAATGTTGTATAGTACTACACCAGCTTGAAGCCAGCCGGTGCGAGACGTGTGAGAACCGCTGTAGTTAGCAGAATCACTAAAGTCAAAGATAGGGATGTTGAAGACATGAGCATTGCTGGCCGAGAGGAATCAAAGCGTTGGCCGGGCAATAATGCGGGACGTGTTCTCTGAGATAGCGTCGGGGAGCAGAGATGTGAGAATGAACGAATTGGGTCGCTGTGGAGTGCAATCAACCTGCGGTGTTCGTCAGAAAGAGTATTGAAAAAGCTCGAGGCCTGGAGAGACATAGCAAGTATCAGCAGGGAACTTACCACAAGATTAAACTACTACTTACTGGAGTTAGAGAATGTTAGCATCGTCGGTTTAGCCATGTTCTCACCTGCGGGTATCTGCGGCTGCTTATTGAACGAATTTTGAGCTCAACTGGACGCGTTCCCAAACCATAGTCTTGCAGGACCCTTTTCTACAATGGCTCAACAGTTTGCTACATGAATGAATCAGCGTCGCATGCTTCTATGCATAGAAATCTTCGATATCACCAGCAAACTCTACTCCGACAGCCCCTCCACCGATGATAGCAACCCTTCTACTCGACTTGATCGTGTCCTGCAACGCTTGAAGCACATTGCATGCACTCGATCTCTCGATAGCCAGAACTGAGCAGGAAGCGGCTACGAAGATCCATTCACAACTGCGAGGTAAGCGTAGTCAACCTTTTGTCTGGACGCTAGTTTTACATGAGTTTCCGTGAGCCCGACGGTCTTGACTTGGATGCATGTAAATATGCCCAGTGGTGGGCCATTTGCTACTTGAATATACGGGATGGAAGCCGTGTGCTCGTGCCCGGTCACGATGGAGAACGGAGGAAAGTTGAACGACATGTTTGGCGTCGGGGATGTCGCAACGTGTCTAGCGGTGAAGCACTGCAGCGGCACGCTGAACAGTAACTCTGCCCAAATAGGGAAGAAAAAATGCGGACCCTTTGCTGACCAAAATGATATCTTTTGCTATTAACATAGTAGGCTGCTTGCTGGCCGGATGTCGAGCACTGAAGACATGCTCGACAAATATCGCGGTTGTTGGAATGAAGGTAAAAAGGAGAAAATGTTGAGTCAAGTTTACTATCATGACATGAACTGCAAAAATGACTCAAATACAGTATCTCTTCTAGTTCGAACTGGGAGTGGTGTCCTAGGTGTAATGAAGGTGTTCTGCCGCTTTGAATATAGCTAGATACTTAAGTTTGGTTCGAGACCGTGTTCTGCGGGAAACCTTGAAACTCCCTGTGGAGCTTGGCTAAAACGTATAACAAGAAACAGTCGTAGGCTTTCGTCTGCCTTGCGAGAATACAAGGTCATGGTGAGCATGAATCACCTATCAACTCTTGTCGTACTTTCTGCTCGACGATTCACGCCTGGATCACTGTCTTGTGTTCTTCTTCTAAGTTGCGCGTAGGTACTCACTTCGCAAGTGCAGAACTATATGTGGCGTTGGGAGGTAGTTTTGATTGCATAAGTACTACGTGAGGTTAGTTAGCCGCACTTACCGTTACTCGATGCGAAGACGAGCTTGAAAGATGTTGAAATTGCTGACAACAATATTTATCCGGCTACAGAGCTAGCAAACAAGTATATAATGACGATTTATTGGTTAAAGATGTCTGGTAAGCAACTTAAGTAGCACTGCTGAGAAGGCACAGCACAAGGTGGAACACTGAAAAGGCATGTGTGCAATGGAACACTCTACGAAACTCAAATGTGCTTCTTTCTCCATTCACGATATGGGTCGTTGGCAAGAGGTCGTGACCGAATGGTGATGTCTATTGTGTCTGTTAGTGCTGCCTGTTCGCTGGTATAAGCTCGGATGAGGAGTCCTACGGGATAATATACTGTTCACCATTTGGCAACTGGTGAGTATGTATTCAAGGTGAGCGTTGCTGGGTCTGTGGCCTAAGGCGGATGTCCGCGGGTACTCCGCGGGCTTTTTGGTGTCCCCACGGCTACATACTCTAGTATGAAGTCACCGTCATCCACGGAACATGAAAGAGAGAGACGCGCTGAGTCTACTACTCTCTTACTTCCCCAAGTTCATTTGTCGTGCATTGTTCTTCACTGCGAGCGACCATTGAGGATGCCTACAGGCAAGTCGACGACCACAAACCGGGCCAAATCGGTCTACTGCTCTAGTATCACTGCCTCTGTAATACACGTTTGAGCATCGAGTGACAGTGAGCATTGTTCATTGTCATCCTTAACCTAGGCTAACGCGCTGACAGTTCTGTGGATTAAAGCAACGCATGCGGTTCTAATCGCTGCGCAGAGTGATGCTGCGCCTGCGCTAGAGACCATTCAGAGCATCTCAATCTCCCCCTTCGTTTTCTCCAACCTGGAAAGTATTTGGCTGCGGTACCGGTCGTTGTTCTTTACTGCTTTGCTGCTTGGTCGAGAGCTGGCTCTTCATCGAATCGACCACCAATGAAACATCACTGTTGCTAGCACTATCCAAAATGATATCGATCGCCGAGCCTAATTGTACTTGGTCGCCACTAATTGTGTTGTTCTCTCATGACTATGGTGTCATAGACAGGACAACTTGCTAATAGTGAAACTTAGGTTGTTAGCTGCGCGATATGGTGGTCTATGCGAAGGCGTGTACCAAACCCAACTTGCTTGCATGACGGTCAACAGGCGGCGCAATATGAATGACGTGAATCTAGTTGAGAGTGAGCTTTGACAGGAGCTGCCAATGTACTACATTCTGCAGCGGACCCACCAAGCCGAAATTTCTCACGGCATCGTGGACCACAATCTCATGTCCGCCATTAGTTCCGGTCAATCAAGCTCTTATGCTCACGTCATGACCGTGGGATTTGAGCTTCAGGGAATAATCCGCGACATTCCGTTTCTTCCAACTAGATAATTACGAACGCGATCCTGATTTCAGCATCCAGGCCTACATATTGAGCTGATCTATGCCTACTTTGTGATATAAGCTTAATCTTGTTACCTCGCGTCTGGATTCAAGAAGATTCCAACCTACGCCTCCTCGCGCGATACTTGCCTCACGTCCGCACGACAGATCATCCGCGGCGAAGGACAACTCTTGCGCTCGCATCATTTCTTTGTGCAAGCATGGCTTTGTCTGACGGCCTTTTCATACCTTTTCTTCAAGGCCACCATTGTCTTGATGATAGATACGTGCCTTAAATTTCACAGGTCTCTATCACAAATCTACACAGGTCTCTCATGGAAATTCTGGCCAAGCATAGTGCTCGGTAGCAGCGACAACAGGCCCCACAGGTGTTGTCTGCACTGCATTATGGAGACGCACCTTCCGCTATCCCTGTAATGAACAGAGAAGCCCCTTATAGGCACTACATGTGCGACCGAACAGTTTTGATTACAAACCCACACGAGGTCACCCTATATGCCTCCAAAAGGGGAAACTCTGCAGGCGCCTTTCTGAACTCACCATTTACCATCTATCACCTTATGACACAGGATTGGGAGGAAAACATGTGTCTCACTGTTATCCACTGGGAGGATTTTTGTTCTGGCATTGCGTCATTATCAATTCTTTGAATGAGGAGGGAACAGCAAAACACAACCTCGTGAATCTCGAATCCTGGCGAGCGGAACGAAGTATTGAGCGGGTGGGCGTGTGTGGCTGGCCAACATAAGGCAAGTTTGAAAGTTTTGGCGCTGCTTGTCTAGGTTCAAGGGAAAATGTAATGGTAATATAACTTGTTTGAAGCTTTTTCTGACACAGTTGGTGCATATCATATATTCAGGCTCGAGAAAGCTGCCGCTAGTACCACGTATGAAACCATCAAATCTGGCAACCTCAACAGTTGCTTGACTCTGAGGCAGCGTTGGAGGCTGTGCAAGTGAGCAGGTACACTGCGCGATACCCGATCAACTGGATGCATAACTCGATTTATTGGTTGGGAATACGGATCTGGCACGGATTTGCGGTGGTGTTGACCAATGCGACGAAAAGTAGGTAGAAGGGGTGTAGTTGAGCCCCGCGCGGGAATAATCAATATCACTCCACTTATGCTCCTTATCTGCTGCATCTATGATGATGCAATTCTCAACAACACGACATACAATAAAGCCTTACGAAGCCTCACCTTCAAGTTAAGTCGATACTGACCATGTTGCGAGATCATTTTGTTAGGCTCAGACACCTCGTCATTGTCATATGTGTAAGGAGTTCTGAACAAGTTCTTGATATGCAACATCACGTTGACTACGCCTCAGTTCTGCGTCAGGGCCCCGCCGCATGTTTTGAAACGTCCCTGAGTGTAAATGTAGGGAACGAAGGAGCACACCGCTTTCTTGTTACTGACTACTTGAAGTGCTTAAAAGCATCATCACGTTGCGCAAATGCAGAATGGTATAACTGAAAAAATCCCTTCGCGACCTCTCTATCATTCCTCGCGTACTACGAGGATTCGTGCACTTTGGCCTACCGCCCAATATACCTTTTGACCACAGGAGATTCCCCAACCACGAGTTCTGTTGTATTTCGATATTACGGCCATGGTCTCCGATAGTCATGACTTCGACTCAGCTCAAATCTGAGGAGCAAGAGCGCCCAAGCAGTGCAGGGAATGACATCGAGGCTCAACACGTCATTGGTCTTAGACTGGCGCTGGTTGTGATTTCGGTTACGGTCATCGCATTTTTAATGCTACTGGATATGTCCATTATTGTCACGGTACGCACTATTCCGAGACATCGTCTCAAGTCAACTTTGATGGCGCAGATGACTGATCAGCTGCAGGCGATTCCTCAGATCACCAACGACTTTCACTCCCTCAGAGATGTGGGATGGTATGGCAGCGCGTATCTTCTCTCCAAGTATGTTTTCTACTGCCTTGAGGACCACAATCTCAGCTTCGTGGATCGAATCACTGATAACTTTCTTAGTTGTGCGCTTCAGCCTTTGTCGGGAAAGTTGTATACGCTTTTATACTTAAATACACATTCTTAGCCTTCCTTTGCGTATTCGAACTTGGTTCCATTCTGTGTGGCGTCGCGAGTACCTCGACTATGTTAATAGTCGGGCGAGCGGTTGCTGGCATGGGAGGATCAGGTCTCACCAACGGCGCCATCACCATCCTTTCGGCGGCGGCTCCGAAACACAAGCAACCTCGTATGTCAACCACAACTCATGTTTGTTCTAGACACGCTAACGGAACAGATAGTTTTAATTGGAGTAATGATGGGCTGTAAGTCTCCATATAAAACGACTTATCATACGTTGAGCAAGTGACTTGACTGTGGTCTAGTCAGTCAAATCGCAATCGTCTGTGGCCCGTTGTTAGGAGGCGTCCTTACCCAACACGCAAGTTGGCGATGGTGTAAGTATCGTTATTCCGTCATTTTCACCGCCATCGACTAACAACTGGACCAGGTTTTTATATCAACCTCCCCTTGGGCGCAGTCGCAGCCTTACTTCTTCTCTTTATCAAGATTTCCGATCGACTTTCTCTACCAGGGCAACTGCATCCGGTACATCGACCTAATACTGCTCGAGATATCTTTTACAAACTCGACCTTGTAGGATTTGCAATCTTTGCCTCATTTGCTGTTCAAATATCCCTCGCCCTGGAGTGGGGCTGATCACAATACAGCGGGCACAACTCCATAATCATTGGTCTATTTTGCGGCGGAGGATTTGCCCTGCTGGTGTTTGTAATATGGGAGCGCCACGTTGGCGACGATGTTGCCATGATTCCCTCCGCAATAGTCAGTAAACGAGAGGTCTGGTGCTCGTGTCTTTCTCTTGGTTTCTTCTCTGGGTCGTTGCTCACCTTCTCCTACTATCTTCCCATCTACTTCCAAGCTGTTAAGAGTGTATCCCCTACACTCTCTGGAGTGTATATGTTGCCAGGGATCTTGGGACAAATCTTGATGGCGGTGACCTCGGGCGCAACTAGTAAGCCTACACTCACGCCTTACAATCATTGGATCACATCAACTAACATTGCTGGTTCAAAAGTTGGAAAGAAGGGATATTACATTCCATGGGCAATAGCCAGCGGTATCATAGTGTCTGTATCTGCAGGTCTAATGTCTACATTTCAACCTTCGACATCGACTGTGAAGTGGGTCATATATCAATTCATTGGGGGATTTGGTCGTGGCTGCGGAATGCAAACGGTAAGACATGTCGGCTCTTAATCCCTTCCTAAACCCTGCTTCTCAAGAACAACTCGACTAGGTACACTTATGCTGACATAGATATTTCCAGCCTATCATCGCAATCCAAAATACCCTTTCTCCGCAGCAGGGTGCTCTTGGAATCTCCCTTGCAATATTTGGACAAACATTTGGTGGTTCGCTATTCTTGACCTTTGCCAAGATTATATTTAATGACGGTCTAACATCTGGCTTGCGCACCTACGCTCCTACAGTGGACGCGCAGGGGGTAACAGCTGCAGGTGCAACGGGATTCAGACTAGTAGTGTCTCCGGAGAGCATTCCTGGTGTTCGACAAGCCTACAGTCAAGGAGTTGATCACACTTTCTATTTGGCAGTGGGCGGGTCGGTGGCCATGTTCGTGTTTGCCTTGGGGATGGGCTGGCAGAAGGTCAACAATGATCCGAACGGTGAAGTTGTTTCAGTGGAGTAGCTTGAAATCCATCGATTACCGAGAAACGGATGGATGCTTTGTATATGACAGCCTGTATCGTTTATTTGCCATGAGTAGTCAAGGCATAATGAGTCGTTGATAGCAAACCTTCCATGATTTACTTCTAAAAATGTGTTGAATTTACCGATTCAAAGCACTTAATGAATATTTTGTACGCAACCATAAGAACCCGTGTGGAGTTATGTAGGTGGTTCATCATGATCTACTGATAAAGAAGCCAATCTATAGATAACAGACGCAGTAGACAGTTTTCAAGTCTTTAGATTTTACTAGTAAGACCTTGAATTGCAGCCTTGGAAGCTGTAATAGTTACCTTTAGGCTTAGAAACATCCGCCAGAATGTTAATCCCTGCTTGTCCACTCAAGAGGTCAAACCAGCGTAAATTTACAGCCCAGACTAATAGATCGAAATCTTCGCAAACGCTATATTCACTAACTTGACAACTGTCTATTATGATTTAATCTCTTAACCGCCGCCGACTTTGCCTGTGGCTTGACCACATACCCTACATCGATCGTGAAAGTTGAGTGGTCTACCCTCTTTGCGCAATACTATTCATTCAGAGACGCTCCTTCTTAGTAAAGAGCCTCTATTTTTCTGGTTAGACAGGCTCTAGTGTGGTTTCCTAGCAATCGGTTACTCTTATTGGAGACTGTCGGTTACTCCCTGATGACGTCCTTGTCACTATGCGACACTTTTCTATATATTGCTTTCTTGGGCTCCTTCTTGATGTCGATATTCGAGACGAAGAGTGCATAGTCCAGCGTGAGAAAATTTGCTGGGACGCCAATGATGTGAACAACCGAAAGGAACTGGCTATAGGAACATGTCAAGTTGCTATTTGCGACAATGAGCGGGAACCTATCTACACGTAGGCGTTGATATCATCGGCAATCAGTGCATCTGGTACTGCGCCGTAGACCGACAGCGGCGATTGCTGTATTCGCCTCGAAAGGCGCGTCTGGCGCTTGCTTGCGCATGTCCTGCACAAATTCGGACGAAAATGTGGCTTCGACAATAGCGAGACCACCAAGGCACGAAAGGGCTTTAGTACAGTATTAGGAGCGAGTGCGAGTTATGACCACGATGGAAGTATCTGGCAGAAGTTCACCATGTCGGCCGCCTGATTGATCAACTTTGGTGTATCGTCGTATTCAGCATGCGTAACGAGCAGGATGTTCTGCAGAGTTGTACGGATACAGATCTGTTATAATTTCCAGTCAAATCAGTTGTGAGAGCCAACTGGGACAGTACTTACTGCGACGAGGATCTGGTGACTAGTCACAACTCCGAACGCGGTCATAATGTGCATTAGTCCAGCGCCGACAGCGCCAATCACCAGTCCGTCGACATGATGTGGCCAATAGCTGCTCTAGCAACCTCTCTGTCAGTGAAGTTCATTGGTAGTCCGATGTTAAAGAAAAATAATATCTACGGACAGATTTTCCGGATACAGCAATCGAGATGACAGCGAACGGCATGAGCAGGAGTAAGCCCACACCACTTTTCTATCGCAGTATTGTAGAGCAACAGCATGGTGAAGTTGCGTGGCTAACCCATAGACAAAGCCGACATAGCCGACGCTATCATACATGCAGCCTGCGAACGCAGAGGCCAAGGGTGCATTCCAAATTAGTAGGGTACATATAGCAAACATGATTATCGCTCATACCGTGCTATGTATTTTACTAAAGAGCAGGACGAGCATAGGATCATAGCGGAATTCGGTGTAGAGTTTGCCTCTACCCACGAGTAGCGCTGATTGTCCCAGTACAAGGTCTCCTACGTACGCCGAACGAGAAGGTCGAATGTCAGGCTGTCATTGTTATAAAATTTCTGAGAGTTGAACAAGAGAATTCAAGACACGAGGAAAATGTTTCTCGGGAAAATAGAGAGTTCCGTCTGCTATGGGAAAGGAATTGTTCGCCATTCTTAGTCCGTCTCTAGGATTTACCCAACTCTAGAGTCTGACTTGACCGTGATCAGAGAAAGATATCTCTTAACAAAATACGTATAACCCACCATGAAAGACATAAAGAATCTGGTAGTCTATGTTACGTACTCTCAATAGGCAAGCATATCAAGTCGTATGACAGCACTTCTCGACGATGAGGAAGGGCGATAAGGCCGAGCCGAGTAATCGTCTAAAATGGAAGAGTCACTTCTGGTTACTATTTTTCAGCACCACCAATACGCCATAAGGATCTATCTGCGACTCAGACTGGGAAGGTATGCTCAAGAGAGTGCAAACTTTCTTTTGGTACTGAGACGGTCCACATAATAATGAGTAACACTAGCATCTAACAGGTTCAACAATTTACACCTCTTGAACCTGCTAACACAGTAAAAACAGGATATAACGAGGTTATGTGCTGCCCGAGCGGTGTCTAGGTCGAGACTTTGGGCTTATCCGTGAAGATTGATACCATTCCAGAACCTTTACTCGACGTTATCATCCAAATCAACAACGCTGTATCTTGTCTTCACGATTATCTCTATGTTCACTTGAAAAATCTCAGATTGCTCTGTTTCCTCATCATGGTTGTCCATCGCTTGTAGCGTTGCAGGAACTTGATGGTATGATGTTTGACAATATAGGCATGGATGGACCAGGACAAGCTTATTGCAAGTAAGATAGACATTACCTGTTCTCGGCCCAACGGCTAGACGAAGGCTGAACTTATTTTGTGCCGAGTCTCACAAAGAATTGTATCCTTCTGTCGGAGTTCCGCGGACTCATACTGTCCATCTGCAACCCACAACTCGATGAGTCTACATACACTCCCTCAAATGTCGACCTTGAGACGAGTATGAAAATTGTCTAAGTTGGATATCCCACGGCACTCGTCGCCCCGCTGTGGTTTGAGATATGTCGCAAGTATCCAGGCAAACTTCCTCGACCCACGGTCTCAACATTCTACGGGAGGATATTGTTGGTTGAATGGCACGACGACCATGCCACGTGAAAGTGTTCCAATCTACATGTTCGGAAGATGGCTGGTAGTCGGAGCAGTTTAGCGGTTCGATTCGTCCTTTACAGTGTCGCTTCAAGCGGTAGTTCCGCGACCAGCGCCTCAGGAATTGTCTTTAGCTGGATTGAGTAGATGGAGTTAATAATGTGATGTCAAGGGCTTTGTGTGAGGGGTTACACCAGTACTCCTTGATCAATGAGTACGCAGATTGAATATTATCGATCGTTGTAAAGTATGAAGCTTACTCTAGAGCGCTGCCAATGCTCGTTTACTGCACCAACTTGTACATACGCTCCACATCCTCACCCTGAATGCTATTCACACCATCTCTCACCACGCCGTCAATCGCCTCCTCGATCCCCACACTCCCCTCAAACAGATCAAACCACCCCCTCGTGTCGTCTCTTGCAAGCAACCCGACCGCCACATCCGCCGTATCCTTTCGCGTGACCTGCCCCTGTGCGCCTGCATGCCCAAGCTGAACTTTCCCTGTCCCTCTCGCATTCGTCAACCACGTGGGCCGTAGACTGATAGCCTGAAATGGTGCGCCCCCACCCTTAGCACGCTTGTTCGCCAGCGCAACGAGGTACTCGTCCGCGTCAAGCTTTGCTTGCTGGATGTCCGGGTACGAGCTTCGCTCTGACACGTATTGCCTGTACTCCGAGTCTGACCACCAGGGGGCACGGTTGCGGCGTGCGGCAGGAAACGAGATGAAAAGGAATTTCGTGACGGTGGGGGTGTCGGCTGAGGCGCGCATAAAGCTTTTTGCTGCGTCGCGGTCTACGCCGAAGGGGTTGGACATGGAGCCTAGGAGATTTGAGTATTTGCACGTGGTGACGTGGGTGGGTTGGCTTACCAGCAGCAAATATGACAAAATTCGGTTTCGCCTGTTCAAGTACACTTTGCGCCTCGGCCGCGCCCCGTACCTTCTCCAAGTCATACACCATGGTCGTGACTTTCCCGTTTTGTCCTTGGCCTAATTTCTCGATTTCGGATTTCTGCCCTGGCCTGCGAATCACGCTGACGACGTCCCAGGAACGTGCGAGCATGGCTGTGGTCATCAAGCGGGAGATGCCGGCATTGCCGCCGAGTATTAGGACACGGGGGGCCATTCTGGGGGATTGAGGTGATGGAGTGTAGGAGTTTGATGAGTAGGATTGACTTTGAGGGGTCGACTGAGGATACTGGGACTAGTTATATACATACCCAGGCACAACGTCGTCCGTCTGTCGTGGATTTAGTCAGGTAAATCCGAGCGAAATCTATCCGTTAGCTGCATAAACGCCGGGAGAGGCAGTGGGGCGAGTAGCGTCATGGTAAGCCTGCATGGAAACATCTTTGCAGGGCATGTTTCGCGTAAAGCCGGGTGGCGCTCGGGCCTGTGCGAGCCAGCACTCAGCCGACATCACGCCGATCTTGCACTTGAGTTTGGTGATTCAGCTCGGCCTGCTAACGCACCGTTTGGTAGCTCACCAGACAGCAAGGAAATGGAAATACCTTTGATTTCCATCGAGAGCAAGTGCAATGATGTCATGGCTCTCGGTTGATCGAAATTCCAAGACACAAGGTGCAGCGTAGTGGTGCAACAGCTGAACAGTTGGAAGTAAGCTTGGCGTAGGGATTGTATGCCAGAACTTTGTCAGAATACGCCTGAAGTGTATTTCTATGAAATTCCATTGGTTAGTTTTGCCCCTTGGAGTAGCGACAAAGGATGCCGCTTACTTGCAGATTTTGCAGTTGATCGACAACAGGGGAGCAGGGGTAACTCGGAGTTTCGACACTGATGCGACTCAATGAGGAACATCGAAAACACAAAGTCTTGGATGGTAAGGCACAGATTTGATGGTTCTCGTTTCTTTGTTAATAAAAAGCTTCAGCATGCACTTTTCCATACAGACGACTTCTTTTCTAAAACGGGAAGGGCATCTTGGGAACATACAGCTCCTCAAGATACTTGACCTCCTCCTCGGTCAGCTCAACCGCGGTAGAACCCACAGCTTGATCAATCCTCTCCTTAGTCTCCAGCCCGCAAATCGGCATACCGCCCTTGCTAATCAGCCACGCCTGCGAGATCTGCGCCATATACACCCCCTTCTTCTTCGCCAGCTCCTCGACGCGATCCACAATCGCCTTGTCAGCCGCGTGGTCCCCGCTGCGGAACAGCATTTTGAGGAAGGGGTCGATCTGCTCGCGCTTGTCGCTGCGATCGCTCCAGGAATGCGTCAGCACGCCCGCGGCGAGTGGAGACCACGGGAACAGGCCGACGCCGGTTGCGTTACAGTATGCGTTCATTTCGCGCTCTTCCTCGCGGTAGAGAAGGTTGTACATGCCCTGCATTGATATGAATTGATGCCAGCCGTTCGACTTGGCGACGTTTTGTAGCATTTGGAATTCCCAGGCAAGCATCGAGCTGGCGCCGATGTAGCGCACCTTCCCGCTCTCGATTACGTCGTTGAGCGCCTTCATGATCTCCTCTGGCGGCACGTCGCGGTCCATACGGTGGATCTGCAGCACGTCGATATGTGTTCCAAGACGCTCTACGCTGCGGTCCACGGCGTCGAGAATATGCTTCCTGGACAGACCAATCTGGTTAACTCGGGGCCCGTTGTTGTCTGTCAAAGTCGCGGGGTCAATGGGACCCTTCGCCTCATCGACAAACTGGAAGCACTTCGACATGATGACGAGCTTGGAGCGGGGAATGTTGTAGTGCTTGATGGCTGCGCCGAGGATTTCCTCTGCTTTGCCGTTGGAGTATGTGTCGGCGACGTCCCATGTGTTGATACCAGAGTCGAAAGCGTGCTTGAGGATGGGGAAGGCTTCTTGTTCATCGAGGAGCCACGGCTGCCAGTTCTTGTCTCCAAAGCTCATGCAACCCAGGATGATCTGGGAGACCTTGAGGCCGGATTTGCCCACGCTGTGTAATGGTTAGAACTCAGCCAAGACGAGCTGGATATGCTGCCTACCGGACGTATTTCATCGGTGGTAGTGATGTCATGGTTGCGAGACGGAAAAATGTATCTGTCGCAAGGTCGAGAAGTTCAATGTGTCGAGAGATGGGAATGGATTTAGTTGAAGCTAGATGATTGCTCTGGTGGGTAGAGTTTATATATCGACCATGGACGTTGCTCGTACTCAGCGACTAACCTCGATTCGGGTTACGAATGGTCTGAGGGACTGGAAACATCCAAAACCCACAAGATAAGCTGGGCGCATTAGATTCGGCCCTACCAGGTAACTGCGTTCAATAAATCCGGCCTCGAGTTTGTTACGTGGAAGCGGGCCGACTAGCAGGGCCGAGTCGGATTAGCGTACATGTGCCTAGTGCGTAATCCACCTGCATAAGCGTGGCCGTTCCCCGCATCCCAACGACTGTTGTTGCTATGTTGCTCAGGAAAAACTCTACAATCTGCAAAGCCTGTTAAAACAATATGCAAGTGGAACCTTCTGGCGTAAACCAGCCAATGGTAAGCGTGCATTGCGTTTCGTGACGGTGTCCAATGACGATTAACGAATGGACAGGAGCCGACTTACGTCACGAACATAAGCTCTGGACAAGATGTGCTCAGCCGACTAGAGAGACTCTACCCGTTGACAGATGCTTGGGGTCCCCGGGACGACTGGACGGGGATCACCAGCTCAGTCGAGAGGAAGAAACGGCAGAACAGAATCAACCAAAGAGCATTCCGTCAGTTCCTGGCCCGGCCCACTCATGCAAGCAGCTGACCAAAAACGTGTGTAGGTCGAAGGAAGCATGCTCCATCTGTTGAGCCGCAATCGACACCGACTAGCTACAGGAATGCTGTATCACCCTCTGCACGCGAGCATGTCGCAGGACACATCGAAGATGACGCACCAGAAACCCCCGAGCCGCAGGAGCCTAGCCACGACAGCGGGTTGATGCACGGCGGGCCCGTCCTCCTGACCTGTCCGCGACGCATCGCACAGAGGCGTGCACTCATCAGACACGCCTACCAAGAGTACAGCCTGCACGCTGCGCGACCCACCAATCTTCCCATTATCATCCGACTCAACGTGCTCAACGCGCTGGCGCGAAATGCAGTCCTGATGGGCTTTCCACCCGAGGGACTGTGTCGCGACGAGATGATCTCACCGTACACTGAGAAAGGCCCGCCTACCCTGGCGATGCAAACGTCGTGCCCAAAGGCATTGGAGCCAACGCAACTACAGCGCACACTCCCGCACCACCCCTGGATCGACTTGTTCCCCTTCCCCGCTTTCCGCGACAACATGCTGCTCGCGATTCACGCTGGCATCTTCGACGAGGACGAGCTGTGTATGGATCTGCTCAACGTCGAAGCGGAAGATATCGGCGTCAAGCCGGCGCTGATCGTGTGGGGGGACTCGTCGGATGTGTGCGGATGGGAGGCCAATGTGCCTTTTCTCCGCAAATGGGGCTGGCTCGTGAAGAGCTGTCCCGAGATCATCGAGGGCTCGAATTACTGGCGCGAGAAGAGGGGCGAGAAGAAACTCGTTATTGAAGCGCCTTGAGTGGGTGATGTCGGGTGGGGATGGGCGTTGGATTCTAGGGTTTGCTGCCAACTGCGCGGTCGATAATCAATCACTACTAAGCGCTTGCCAAGTCAGGATGCACAAGTCATTCTACACCGTATCCATCGTGTCGTTCGAAACTTCGTGTGCTGGTGTAGGTAATGACTTGGTTGATGCCGTCGCGATCATGCTTGTTTGCAGGCTGCGTCGCGTCCCGCGAAGAGGCTACTACTTTTAGACTCTTGGCAGTCGTAACATCCGCCATCTGATCACGACTTCCATTGAGCCTGGTCTTCACTACTTTCTACCTAATCTTCTCTGCGATTTGCGTGCTCATGAAACGCATTCCAGGAGTGCGCGTATACATCCCTTGACTGCGTCAGCTTCGACATATCTCTACGTCATCGCTCATGTGACCCTGTGCCACGATTTCCTCTCCAGCGATTGGTCGAAAGGAGCGAGAACACAAGCATTCTCAATAAGAGCACTAACAACAGCACCGCCTAGTAAGGCTCATCGTCGCGTTTCTTCTTATACTCATTGAAGACCTCCTTGGAGAAAGTTTGGCCCGTCTGAATAGCCGTTTCGAAGAGCTGCGCATACGAGACATCCACGCCTGGCTGCACCTCCTTGAGCCAGGGCCAGCTGTCCCGCAGAGCGCCCAAAGTGGCGAGGAGCATTTGCAAGACGAACTGCTGTGGGAGAGGATAGTAAGTAGGCAGAGCATACGAGGGAAGAGGGGGAGGAGCGACCTACGGTGGAAAGCCTTATCGTGTCTGTCTCATCACCTCCGCCCTCATCCAACTCAGAAATCGACACGGGCAAGAAGGGCGTCGCATCGTGCGCGAACCTTCCATTCTTCATCAGCACCCGACATTCCTCAGTGATGTAGTTCGATAGCCGACTACTTGACTGATTCGTAGCCGCGGCGAACGCGCTGAAAGACTTCTTGAGTGTCGGGCTGTTGCTAGTATTGACAGACTCTCGCGTCTGCTTCAGCATCACGAAATGAACGCGGAATATGCGCGTCAGCTTGACGCCGAGGCGGTAGCTGGCGCCTATTGTAGATTGAGGGTCGCGTCGGACGGAAGGGCTTGCGTGTCAAGCCATCGCAACTTGTCTTCTGATGTCTTGGTGTGCCAGTCTGCTGGGACAGCATCGGTTGCGTATGTGCGTGACAGGGTTTGGTTGGACATGGTAGGTGTAGTGCCGTGCTTCAGGGTGGGGCAATGTAAGGAGGAAGCAACGATGAAGACAGAATTGCTGACAGGTCAAAAGTGCTAGATAGGGATATTGCTCCGTTGATGCGCGCACACGCGTCTATCACCACGCGACTCCCGCGCACTCCGTTCCCCGCGAAGATCTGGCGCCCGGGAGCAGCCGCATTCGGAACCTGTGCGCTGCGATGCCGTCAACACGGGCGATCAGGAGTTATTCGTGCGACCTGCACTATCCTACAACTCGTTGCAAAATTTCTCATGCGATGGCTCTGCACGGATGCCTTGTGCCATCTACATAGGACTGCAGAGAGCGGCTTGGTTAGGCCACGATACGATTGTGGCGGGGTAAACACTACTACCAGTACCCCACTATAGCAAGTATAGATAGACGCTAATAGTAAGGAACGTATCTGCAGCGCATCGCCACCCAATCCATTGTTGAAGAGATCAGGTTTTAAACAACTGACTTCACGAAGTGCTCCAAGAGCAAATATCCCCAAATTAGCAATACACGTGGGAACATACAAATTTGTAATGACAGTAAATTCTAGCACACCAACTCCCCACAATTATAAACAACTGTTGTCAACAGATCTATCTTTTCAAGGTTGTTTAGAGTCTGTCTTTTGGCCATTGTTGAGGCCAAATCCATTCCACGGTTGTGTGTTTCTGTCTCCCAATAGCCACCAGGAAAGAGGTAGAATATCACTTTCGTGGGTACGCTGGACTATTTCGTGTCCGTCCAACGGTCCTGTAACGCTATCGATCGCGTCTGCGAGTTCGGTGTCGAGCCAGGCTCCGATACCCTTGAGATCTAACAAGTAATCTCCAGTTTGACTATATTGGGTCAGTACATTAAATACGTTGACGGAAAGATACCGATTTACCTTTCTTCTTTGGATTGAGATTCTCTTCTATCGATGCAATAGCTAACGTGTTTCTTGCGGGTAACTTGATGCTTAGGTGTTTCTTGTTCTGTTAGTAAATCAAGCTGAAAGAGATAAATCGATGTCGGTCTTGCCTACCTATGTTGTTGGTTGGTCTTGTCATCTTTCGATATACTAATCGATGTAGCCATAAAATGTTGGGAAAGATACCCAAGCGGAAGATTGAAACTGCTACGGGATACTTATACTTGTACTCTACTCTCAGAAATGACCTGGGTAACACGAAGGCTAGTGGCTATAGGAGAGACTGTTCCGCAGTGACGGTGGGCAATAGTAAATTACAGGCGATAAAAGTGCATTAGAGTCTCCTGAATTCTTGCTTCGCTCATTCCACTGTAAATGACCGCCGCTATAGATTACGTATACACCTCAGATACTGTTTTTTGGAGGTGCATAAGCACAATGTACGTTATAATTTGCTAATAGTTGATGCGGACCCACATACACATACATAGTCACCAAGCATCCCGAACCAAGAGATTGCAGTACCTGAAACCTAACACTGCATAGAAGTATGCCTGTTGACAGAAGTGCGATGGTGAGATCAGACACAATCAGTCAGCCTTGCCGTATGCACTTTTGTCTGATTGGCCCACAACTAGTCAGTCTTGCTGAATGCACTTTTGTCCAATTGGTCGAGCCTGCCATGCACGTTTGACGATAACGCACGGATCTTCGTAGAAGTGCGGCGACACGGGCTAGCTGATCTTACGCCTCGCTGCCTAGACCTTCGCCAACAGCACTTGTTAAACTGAGTTCTTTGCCATCTACAGTCAGACATCCTATCACGGGTCCACCTTCTTGTAGGAGGTGGCTTGTCATTTCCCTACTGTAGCCCATCTTACAATCTTGGACTTTTTGTCTATCTATGGAAGTTTCAAAGGATTCTGTACAGTCTGGCGATGCACATTCAGCCTTATCGAAGGTTGTAGGATCAAACCAACAAAGCTCACGGCCGAGAGCTAAACAACCACGTCACAAGCATTCTCAAGAAGAATGGAACGAACTACGCGGTGTTATCACAGATCTCTACATCAAATCGGACAAGAAGGCTGAAGAAGTTCTTGAGATCCTGGAGACAGGTTACAATTTTCGGGTTGGGTCAGTTGGATGCAAGCTATAGCATCTTGCACTTGCTCATATTCGACAGTCTTCGCAAATTCAAGGATTGGCTCAAAGAAAATGGCATCTCAAAAAACGTCCAGAAGTCCGATATGTTCATTTTGTACACCAAACGTCACGCTCGCCTAATCACTGAGGGCAAGAAAACAAATATCTACAAAGACAAAAGCCTTTTGGATAACGCTCGTTTTGATCGGTTTGGTGAGAGGAACTGCCTTGATGTAGACGCGCTGACCTATCAGACCGCTGGTAGGGAATGTCCATGATAGGCGAAGTTCACAGCTAATGCCTATTGTTAGCAACCCCAGACGGTTATACATATGCAACACCACACGCCGCTGGTACGGGTATAGACTGGGAACCTGTCTTGGATTCCACGCTACTTCAATTCTCTACCACACCAAGGCCTATGCAAGCAATTTTTGGGGATGTCTTCGATGTAGAGAGCTGTTTCGAACAAGATGCCCATATCCACCAAATCGGAGTATTTGGGCTCAGGATGGCTTCTGAGAAACACAATGAGGATCTCTCAGTACTACTCCAGCAGTGCCTACCGTTGGCTAAGGATCTCATGGATTTTGTCTCATTGCCTTCAGCTTCCGTTGCTCACGATGTGTCAGACCTACATCCACCAGATATAAGAGTACCCAAGGTCCAAATCACGTTCACTGGGAAGTGTTCGAACATATTTACTGAACCTTCGATAGCCGACGTTGTATCCTACCTGAAGCATTCGGAGACGTGCTCGAGGTTGCTACAGCTGAGCTCAGCAGACCAGGGAAGATGGAAGCAGGATTGGTATGCGATGGATCCGGACGAGCAAACCACGTCTAAAAGACTTTGTGAGACCTTTCTCGGGATACCGAACAGCTATAATGATGCAATGGTATTCATGCATATCTCAGTATTACTTTCGTCGCCGAAGGATCTAGCGGATACTGTCATCGCAAGAATTTCTCTTGGAGTCGATACAAGGGACGTTCCGGAGTGTAGGATATGCCAGCGAAAGGTTGTGTCTGTGGACTGCATTAGCGGAACACGAGCAGTTCAGTTGAATGTGCCTCTCCAGTCAGCATGGAGTGGGAGTTGGAAGCCATCACAAATCTCAACCACCGAGATCACGGAGCACGTGAGATGGTGTGACTACGTCTATTCCCTGAGAGGGTGGTTCATTCACCTCTCCTCTTGTGTGCGCAGGTATGAAACTCTTGTGAACGACATGGAACGTACGGATTCGGATTGGATTGAAGAAGACGAGAACGAGATATGGGATGAGATTTGGGACCCAATGGACGTATGCACGCCCTTGCTGACGTTCCAGCCATACAATGTTGCGACTCCTGCGGCTTTGTGTGCGTTCAACGATTTTGGACTTGTGCTTCCTGAGAGTTCTGAAGAAATGGATAGTCCCAAGTTCGAACCTGATGCTACTGACGTCGATGTTTGGGATCCCAATGGGAGTTGAGGAATGGCGTAAAGTCGCAAAGAAAATGCAAAACGAAGAGCTTTTATGTATTTTGTATAGTTATCTGAATTAGACTGGGCGACCGTCCGAACACCTCCTCGTCATCCAGTGTTCGGCTGGGGCAGCTTACCACCTTCAATGAGAGGTATGGGATAGCCAATGTTCACTCAAGACGAGCCCTCTTGGCTGGTGGCAAACTCGATTCTGACTCAATGACCTTCCGCGGAGCAGTGTGCCGGATTGCCGTCTCCAATCCATCGTATGAAAGTTTCTCCTTCTTGATAGAACACAGCCTAGTGGATATCTTCACTGCATTCTTGAGCTCTCTGCCGTTCAACTCCCAACGCGCCAGACGCCAATAGTCTTGTTCAGACAGGTCAGTGGACTGTGCAAACACGTTTGAGGAAGTCGCGAACTCTGTCATGGCTTTGAGAAGCTTGCATCGTGCTGTTCTGTCTAGAGATGGATACTCGAAGTGAACGTCAATGCGGGAAGAAAAGGCCTCATCGATCTTCTCGGGGAAGTTGGTTGTCAATAATACCACTCCAGAGTAGTACTCCAATTGGGTCATGAAAGCTGGTGTATAGTTGGTATGTAAGTTCAGCCAAAATAATATATATCTAGACTTACTTCGCACGTGACTGGAACGGTGCGTCTTTTCATCGGTGTTTCCGAGATACGCATCAGCTTCTGATTCATGTTTAGTCTATGCATCATGACTCAGGAAAGACCTACCATCTATAAGGAGAACAGCGTTCCATTCAGTGGCTAGCCTGAACCAGGTCCCTAATTCTTCTTCCAGATCTTCATCATCTTTTCCTAGTGTTTCAGCTTGGATACGCAAGAAAGGGCGTTGTGCTTGCTCAGCGACTTGGAAATTAGCACCGTTTTTATGCAAAGCAAGATTACAGTTCTTACCAGCTTCCGCCGTTAGGGTCTTCCCAGTCCCAGGTGGTCCGCTCAACAGAACGACAAACCCATTTCCTTCACGGTCATTCGAGAACCCAAATGTTGAACGACGGGGAAGAAATACCTTTTCCAGCAACGATATCTTGCCCGATATCTCGAACCTGTGCATGGCTCCTCACAAGCGTGAGTAGCAGATCCTTCGAATCTTCGGGAAAGACAAGTCGTCCGAAAGCCCAATCGTTCCAATTGACCTTATGAACATAGTCAACATAAAATGTGCCTATCCTCGTTATTAAAGTCTGTCATCGTAAAATATGTAATTGAACTCACCCCATGTATACGACTTCAGAGAGTAACCCGCAATGTATGGATCCAAAAGAAGCAACCAATGAGGTTTGGATGATACAATCTTCACATTTTTCTGGATGTGTTCCATCGAAGGTCGGACTTTTGAGCCTCTATGTTCGAAATGATTCCGGAGTTCCTCGTCAACATCGGCCTCGTCGGATGTTAATCGAGTAACAGAAAGATTGCTATTGAATTTGTCGTAATTATACGGGTTGATCATGATACGTTCGCCAGCCTATGGTATACTTAGCCTCGAGCACACAAGAACTATAGAGAGGAGAAACATACCGAAAAATTGTGTTTTGATCTTTGCCTAATGTCCTCTTTGTGTTCGATTGGATTGTACTCAGCGTGCACCATTTCCTGATATCGAAGGACTTTAAGGCTGCGCTGAAGCGTGCTCCTTTCTAGACTCTCACGGCTTCTGTGGAACGATAGAGGATAAACACTCAGTTCGCAGATTTGTCGAACACCCCGAAAATCGAGCTCTGTGAAGCGCCGTGTCTTGATGCCGTAATTGAAACCATCAAAAGCGACGTACTGGCAAACGAGTGTTTTGGTACCCATTTCGTAACATGTGACCTCAAAGAGGCATTCTTGACCTTGGTGGTTTGAGACGACGATGATGCCTTTAGGAAAAAGCGTCCACAGATGTGGGTAAGTGATCAGTTTCTTCTCGTGGAGATTAGTCACTTCACGAGTCGTCTCGCGAAGCAGTTCGTCCGCCACTTCTTTCAGAACTCCAAGGTGTTGTCTCTCTTCTGAACCTTGCTCGCATGCATCGCATGCTTCGAGTATTCCTGAGTAGGCGAAGAACAGGTCCGAGAAAGGCGCATTCACCATCACCGAACCTTTTGCCGTGCCAACTCGTCCTATCTTTTGGAAGATAGGCTCGAGAGCTTTCAGGATGATGGGGCTTTGGATAAGAAGCCACAGTGGGCTGATAGTCTTCAAGCCGCCTAACGTCTCCTTGGAATGATCTTTGCCATGATACACGCGGATAGCGACCCCGTCGTACTTTTCCTGTGCTTCCTCGGGCACTTGCTCAGGTTGCTTTTCGACCCAATTTATGCAACACTTGCATGTGGGCCGGCCCTCGTAAAACTTTTGGATGGTTGCATTGTTTCCCTTTTGGTCGTCTTTGGATTCAAGCGATGGCAACACTGGGGCTACGCAAATCTCATTCAGCATTCGGTTCCATTCTGCCTCAAAAGAATCGACGACATGTGCAGTTGATGTATTTGGCTGGTGGTGCAGAGGTGGCACTAGACCTGCACTGTGCGATTGATGATGATCGGTGTCCAAAGGTACGTGGATGCCGCCCACAGCCAGTGCTGCTTCACCCGAAAGGTCGCCTAATGGGATATGATACAAGTCTGGCATTTCCCAGATGGCCGGGGCTGACATTGTATGAGGTACTCAAACATTTAATGACCATGCTTGGAATGGCGGGACAAGACATATTAATATTTGGATCGTTTGGAGGGCGCATCTTTGCAATTTCATTTCTGCACAATTGCAGCGCAGCCTGTATGATCCTGGATAGTATTGAAACCAAGTTTGGTGAGTTGCACCAAGCGACGACGCCTTCAATAAAGTTGCCTAACCATATTTACCTCGATTAGGAAACCTTTGGTGTCGATCATGTTTGCCTGCTTCGAGGCTGAGTCCCTCGCTTGAGTGGCACCTTATCAGCGAATAGCTCTTCACCGCCCTTTGTGACTTGAAGATCCAGCGTTGCAAAAAGGCCTTTACTTGAATCACAACCAAACCTTCTTCCTTTGAATTAGATGAAACGCAGACATCAACCCTTAATCGGGTGCTGAAGCGTCGATATCCAGTGTCAGGGATGAACGACAGGGGTACCAGGCTACTATGGCGGGTAAGCTACCACAAGCGAGAAACGACAGGACCCCACTTTTAGCACGCAATTGGCGCGTCGGCGTTTTTTTGCTGGTACAGCGCGCCTAACAACCGATCTCGGATCAAAATCAGGCACAACTGCGCCGCTGCTTATTTTCTTGCCTTTGATTCTTGAGCCTGCATTTGCACTTTGACATTGAACGCGCTGGACCGCACTGCACTGCCCTTTGACCTTACTACTGCCAGATTCCACTCGACGACAAACACGAAGCGCATATCAACGCGACCAAGACATTCCCACCCCCACAAAATGGCTGCACGCGCCTTCGCCACCGTCCACCCCGTCACCACGGCCTCGCACGCCCACAAAGTGCTGATCGTCGGCGGTGGCTCAGCCGGGCTCTCCATCGCGCACCAACTCCTCCGCACAGGACGGTTCCAGGCGCGCGACATTGCCCTCGCCGACCCCTCGCAGTACCACCACTACCAGCCCGGGTGGACGCTGGTCGGCGGGGGGCTGAAGAAGAAGGAAGACCTGCGGCAAGACTTAGCGGGGCTGGTGGACGAGCGGGTCAAGCTGTACGGCAGCGGGGTCAAGGTCGGCGGGCTGGATGTGGGGCAGAATGAGGTGGAGCTGGAGAGCGGGGAGCGCGTGGGGTACGAGCATGTCGTCGTCGTGCCGGGGATAAAGGTGGATACCGCGAGTGTGAAGGGGCTGGGCGACGCGCTGCAGGACGGGCGGAGTGGCGTGTCGAGCGTGTACGGGTACGAGACGTGCGACAAGGTGTGGAGGGACGTGCAGGCCTTCAAAGGGGGCAAGGCCATCTTCACCCAGCCGGCGGGCCTGATCAAGTGTGCCGGCGCGCCGCAGAAGGTCATGTGGCTGGCGTGGGACCACTGGGTCAAGAGCGGGCTGTACCGCGCGGCGGCGTCGTCGGCCATTGACGTCTCCTTCGCGACGGGGCTGCCCGTCATGTTCGGCGTGGGCAAGTACAACGCCGTGCTGGACAAGCTGCGGCAGGAGCGCGGCATCGAGGGGCTGTTCCAGCACGACCTCGTCGCTGTCGACGGCGACAGAGCGACCTTTGCACGACCAGATGGGGACAAGGTGGAGAAGCGCTTCGACCTGTTGCACGTCGTGCCCAAGATGGGGCCCCACGCCTTCGTCAAGCAGAGCGCCCTCGCCGACGCCGCGGGCTACGTCGCCGTCGACCCCGCCACCCTCCAACACACCACCTACCCCAACGTGTGGTCCGCAGGCGACGCATCGAGTCTCCCAACAAGCAAGACAGCCGCCGCCATCACCGCCCAGGCCCCCGTGCTGGTGCACAACCTACTGCGCAGTCTGGATGGCGCCGACAAGACTACAGGCGAGCCCCAAGCCTACGACGGCTATACATCATGCCCGCTGACCATTGGCGAGAGCAAGGTCCTGCTCGCCGAATTCAAGTACGGCGGCGTGCCCAAGGAGACGTTCAACGCCCTGTTTGGCCTCGACCAGGGCGTGCCCAGACAGGCCTTCTACCACCTCAAGAAGGACTTCTTCCCGTGGGTATATCAAAACTACATGGTGAAGGGGCAATGGGCTGGGCCACAGGGGTGGATGAGGTGAGGTGGGGGATGTACTTTCGCTTCAAGCGACGTCGATGCCGAAAACAATGAGGATTATGTAAGCTGCTGTACCACTATGAATACTCCGACGAAAGAAGAAGACAGTCATGTCAGTGCCTATCTATGTTCCATTACCTTACAACACACATGTCAATACAAACAAACACAGCCGTCCTGTGGATTTTTTGTTTGAGGATTGATATATTGGGTTTGCGTTATACATCTCACCCTTGTCATGGACAACAAACACAGGTTTAAACACCACTGTGGTATTTCGAATATCTATCTACACCCACGCTTGATACCTCTTGGTCTTCTGGAACGCCTGCTTGAACATGCCATACCTCTCCGACCTCTTCGCCGCCGCCGACGCGTTCCTTGGCGGGATACTCTCCCAGCTGCGCGCATACGTCGCCGTCATATGCGCAATCGCGCGCGAGAACTCAATCCATGCGTCGAGATTCAAATTGTTGACGGTATCGCCATCCTCGTGGTAGTTGACATCGTACGGAACACCAGCGCCTCCGCCGAACATCTCTGCCTCCTCCTCCGTCTTGATGCCCTCGGCGCCACCTGCAATACCTCCGGCGGCGATGCCGGCCTCGAGGAACGGACCGTAGTCGGAGCGTCCGTCGAATTCGATTTCCGTGTGGTTGAGACCGAGGTTGTCGAAGTAGGCAGCGAACTCGTGCTCGGCTTCCGCAGAACCAGCGGGCCCAGTTGAGTTGAAGGCTGAGCCGTCGCCGTCGTAGATTTGGATGGCGTAGTTGGGCGAAGCCATCATGTCGAAGTCGAGGAAGAGGCGGATCTTATCCTTTTCGGCTTGAGGAAGTTGCTTGACGTAGTACTCTGCGCCGAGCAGACCCGCCTCCTCGCCTGTCCACCAGCTGAACCTGACGGCGTTGTTGACCGCGAAGTTGGTCAGTTGGATGGCGATCTCGAGGATGGCAATCGAACCAGATCCGTTGTCGTTGATGCCGGGCCCGGCCGTCACCGAGTCCGAATGGCCGCCCACGTGGATGACGTTGTCGTGGTCACCCGCGATGGTCTCGGCTATCACGTTGTAACTTGTCGCTTGGTTGACCGTCGTGGTGAGGTGGACGTTGATGCCAACACCAGCTTCGAGTTGCGCCAGGAGAGACTCACCCTGACCGAGGGTGATGCCACCGACTGGGATATATGGGTTTGCCGGGTCTTCGAACAGCTGTAGAGAGTATCCCTCGAGCGTGCCTTCTCCGTTGTTCCATGCGATCACTCCGAGCGCGCCTTTGGAGGCAGCGAGAGCCACCTTTACTCCGAAAGAGCAGATACCGCGGTTAATCAGAGCGATTGAGCCCTCGAGGCTTTCGGTAAAATCTGCCTGGTTGGAGTCAGTTCTATACAGTTTGTCTTGATGACTCGATATTGCTTACCTCCTCACAACCCAAGTTTGGAATTGCAACAAGCGGTCCTGAAACATCCCCCGCCGGTGCAAGTGTCACTGGGTAGACTTCGATAGTCTTGTTGTTCGCGGTCAGGTTCGCGCTAACGCCGACTGTGAGCGGTACACCCTGCAGTTTGACGGTGTAGTAGTCTGGAAATTGCTCAATGGTCTCCTTGATGAAGGCGACGGTGCCCTCGTGACCCGGGCTGCCGATGACACGGTTCTTGCCCTCGGTCTTGTAGGCAATGTCTTGCAGGACCTCAGCCTTGGCGTACAAGTTGTCGATGTCGAGAAGGTGACGCAAAGCTTCCTAGACCTGAATTAGAATAACTTTGAGGTAGAAGAAGATGGGATGGACCCACCGATGTAACAAGCTTCTTTGTGGAATTTGCGCGAGGTTGCAGGGCCGCAGCTTGTGCACCAATTGCGGCGACAGCCGTCAGCGCGGCGAAGGATTTGAGGAAGGCCATTCCGAAACTCGTTCTTGATCGTGAGGCGGCGTCGACGAGTCCTTAATGAAGTGGCTCCAGCGCGCATTTAAACACGCCATCTTCGAGTCAGGCGTGCCTCATAGCGGAACCAAGAGTACGTATCGCTGACAGGCTGATGGCCTAACAAAGCAACTTGCAGGGCATCAGCAATGTCGAACCATGTACTGTCGTCGGGTTTCTTGGCACATCCTGCACCTGCCGTTTCGGGCAGGCAGCTTCCGCCTTGGGTGTAGAAAGTGGAGCGGAACCACCAGTAGGAGCGCGGAGAATGTCGACGGCTGACAAGCATCCCGTCAAGAAGTGATAAGCCAGCTTGGCCAGCTTGGCGTCATGGTGCCTGGATTCGTCGGAGAGGGATAGCTGTGGAATGTCGGTAGGCGGCGAGAACTTTGCCTCGGCGGGCGACCTGGAGCATCGACGTGATTCGTGACTGAGCCGCTTCCTACCACCTTGCAATGTTCTTTTGTCGGCGATCGAACGTGTTGCGTCAGGGCCCCATTCCATGACATGATGGAACCACTCTTTGCGTTGATGTCTACACCTTCATCCAGCTCATCCAAGTTAATCGCTTGTTGTCTAGTTACGCGCTGTCGGTCGAAGCTGAGAAGTTGTGATGATGTACTAAACTTGATTCGAAAGAACCTTGTTTTCGTAGCGTGGTCATGTCATTGGCGATGGTGCAGTGCAGAATTGGCACTCAAGAAACTCAACCGTCTCCCAGCCCCGCGCCCCACTTCCCCGCATGCGCTAGAGAGTGACGATGTCACTTTTCGTCTCACACGCCGCGCAGTTGATAATCTCATCTCGCGACAGTCTTATTGTTGAAACATGAGTTGCCTGACAGTCTGACATGGTGTTGTTTTCCTTGAACTATGCTTACCGATCTTCTCAATCTCTTGGTCCGTCGATGTCGCCTACGACGAGGTTGTCGCGCGACATCGCCCCAAAAGCAGTCGCAAAGAATAATCCAATTGCGCTCTCAACATCATCGTAGCCTCATCATCGTAGGATACGGCAGTAGTGCAGCACTGTCAATGGTGTCTTTGTCTTATTATACTTTCAGTCAAAAACCAAAAAAAAAAGCAAGAAGAAAATGCCCGCGTTCTTGTAAATATCCAGGCTGCTTTATATATTCTAACCACTCTTTTCGTCGCCAATGATCATTGGCCAGCTGCTAGACGCGTAGACGCTACAAAATGTGCTCGTCCAATAGCTTTGTATTAGGCTGGAACGAGAACGCCTTCGAATCGTTACTAGACTCGATCGTTAACATGTGCAGCGTTCCATCACTTCAGTGTCACACATTCACACCCGCATTCTCCATGTTGTTCATAGCTCGAACCCACGATGGAATATGCCATTTTCCTACGTTGGAGCCGTAACGCCCATTCTCGATTCCACAGACGCTGTCAGACTCGAGTTACCAACATTAGTGTTGTCGACATCTCGCCTTTCGCCAAAGAAGACCAGAGACATTCCACTAAGTTTTCTCTCCCAGGTGAATTCACGCTGTTGATGTTCCCAGAATACTTCTACGCATTTGGGATAGTCAGACACCACGAACTTTACTCGTCCATTGGGTGTAACACGTGTGGGAACAATGTCGCTCGATACAGATCGTCTCGGAGCCAACTCGAGGACTTAGTTCAGACTCTTCCAACACACCTATTGGAGTTCTATCCGTGATCGACAAACTCGGACACCTCTCAAATCCAACTGGATTACATGGCTATCTCCAACGAACCGGCGCTGTACTCAACGTTCTCATCAGTTCATGATGTACCAGTGGGCAGCTCCGATAACTTGAGGTCGTTGAAGTTAAGCTGTAAGAACTTTACGAGCGGCGCCTGTGTGGTTTTACATATATACATTCTGGCTACAAACCTCTTGCACGATATCACGCCAGCGTCCGAACTGCCAGCATGCCCTCATTCTCGCATACGACATACAAGATCTCAACAAACGGCCATACAGCATACAAATCAGAGCGTGTGATTTTGCATACCTATTTGTTATTCGATATCCAGTTTGTAAAATGCACCGTTCCGATGTTTTCAGCGCGGCGGAGTAATGCGGGGGTGCTGCTGAAGGAGACTGAGGATGCTTTTTGCGCAGTACGAGGTGTATAAGCGAAAAATGACCAACTTGTTGTGTGCGATGTGAAAAAGCTGATACATCCTCGTCAATGCGGAGTCTGCTCAGCATCACCAACATGCCGACTACTGACTTCATCTTGGTTGCGATACCAATTGCTCCAGTGTATTGCGATATTGCGTCCGGATCACATGGAAGTGTCAGCAACAAAATGGTTATACAGTTCAGACGCGCGGGGCAACCGAAGAGAACTGGAAAGTACCGACCCAATGCGGTTGTAACATGACACAGGGTAGTAACATCCACGATGTGATTGATTGCAAGAGCACAACGAGGTGAATTTTGAATGTAATGCCATGAGATAGAAAACCAGTTTCGTGGTCCTTGTCATACGAGTGAGGTAGTTTAAATCAGAGAAACGGCAGGACGCTTAAGAAGAGAAAGTTGACAAACCCAGCTGTGGCCGACTATGGATCCTTCTCGTCTTGCTGTGTCTATGTGGGGAGAATCAATCTGGCCCAAGTCGGCATTGCTGACCATCACTCCACGCGGAACGGTGTCATGGATGATCCCGGCTGAGCCGCGAGCAACTGCATCGCGAGTCTGCTCGCTACAAAGTACGTCGACTTGCATAAGCCCATATGCAGATCTAGTTCCAGATCCATTACGGGAGCGGGCTAGTCGACCACGAAGTACCATTCGACAACGCTGTCTTCTTGAAACTGCTTAGTTGTTTGCTCCCTCATGATTCGGGCCAATATTTTGTATATCAGGTCGGACGAGAAGGAGGACATATCTAAGCGTGTATATGATATACATAGCCACCACCAAATTTGTAGGACCAGCAATAGAGAAACCATGCAAAAGGCGGTAACTTTTCTGTTTGGAAATAGCGATGTGCTCGACTTCTAGAACGGTGTGGGAGTGCACCCGAGGGGATGGGTCCGGGGGCATTGCCAAAATAGAATCTATCCGATTGGCTGTCCGACCAGCTAGCGTCAGGCACTCCCGCGTCTAATCTCCGAACGTCTGGCCGCATTCCACACAGACCGTTCGTGCGTCGCCAATCATCCCTTTTCCAGTTTTGTGTGTTTTGTTCTGCTTCAACTAACACCCACCATCTCCACAACCTCCAGCTCACTCGACCACCGCTTACCATTTCTACTGCACCATCCAACGCCCCAGACCAACATTCAATGCCCTTCCGCGCCCCAAAATCTTCCAGCAAAACGCCCACCGGCGTCGCCAAGCAAGCGCATCCAGACACAGCGAAGAAGCAGTCACGGATCGCAGCAGCATGGACATGGGTCTGCGGAGGCGAGAGTAGGCCCAGGGGAAGCAAACATCGTGGTGTCAAAACAGGGCATGATTACTTGGAGATCTAACACGCCGTGTCGCGCCTGTGATGGGGTGATGCTAACATCATCTCGTAGAGAAGAAGCATGTCTGAGATCAGGGTGTGGACGGGGCGGCCAAGAGTGATATGACCGAGCGTGCCAGGAAGTGACTTGGCGTCAGGCGATGCGTGTGGAGGCAAAAAGGATCCAGAAGAGCAGGTGGCTGAAGTTGCGGTAGTAATGTCGAGGAGGTGTGGGTAGACGTGATGGGAGGTGCATTGGAGGCGTGCCTGTAAGTCTAGCTCCCAGATGCGAAGTAAATGTGCGCGGCTAACCGTGTGTAGTGGAATTTTTGGAGCATACATGGTTGTTTCTGTTAAAAGCTATTGAAACCTTTTGCGCCTTTCTCCTCCTCCACCGCAACATCTGTTATCACGTCTACAATACCTGTATCGCGGATTAGTCCTGTGAACTATCTGTGCAGGCCTACAAGACACACAAAACTCCGGTACCGCGAGGCGGTCCATTTTACACGCTATGCTGCTTGAACTGTATAAACTCAACGTCTTGTTGATCAATTGTCATACTCCGTCGACACTACGCGACCGTATGCTTGTTACAACAATCAACGCTTTGCCATTTCTGTACCCGGTCCCCACAATGCTGTGATTACTCCACACCACCGCCCTGCCTATGGATGCTTGTTCCAGTTTGCCTCCCCGTTGTCCCAATACCCAAGAAACGCGTGGCAAGGATGGCACCTACGGACCGATGCGGTTCGTTGTGGACAACATGTTCACTGTGGAAAACATCGACGGTGAAAGACACCCATGGCGACTTGCTAAACCTCCAAACACTCGATATTGATTAGGGTTTCCCCGTTGGGCCATCATTTTCCAAGTTGAGACTGGCCGTGTGAACGACGATGCCTCACGAGGTTTAGGGAAAGCGTGATGTGTGTGTGGTACGTTTCCTGTGCGACTGTTCAGTGCAACAAGCGGTAAAGAAAATGTTGTTCTTCAGTATGTAATGCTGTATATCGCAATTCTATATCTCAAGAATAACATAGCGGAAGTCTCTGGAATAACCTGGAGGCCATCCTGTGTAAGTCGCGATATCGGATGATACGCTTTCATGTTCAGACTGGTTGGCGGATAAGGACCCATAAACGTATTCATGGTATACCTGCTGGTTGGTAAGCCTATTTTGAGCTGTTCTCTGAGGCTAGACGAGGGTCGGTTAGAAGGTGTTAATGGCAGACACCATGCATCCTGTTGGAACTCGTTGCAGCCTGAAGCTCAACATGCCAAAGACTGCGCAAGCCAGGGTTAACGTTCGGCTGCCGGAGTCAAGCAGATGGTGTGTCAAAGAGGTACAGGATTGTATACATGCACCAGCCGCCAGTGAAAATATCTGAGAGACTCGATTGGTCTACAGAGAGAAGCCACCAGAGTTGATATCTTTGCACAACAGCGTTCAAGTATTACTTCTTTCGTGATGTGTTCGAATTTCAATCTTGAAAATGCTCTTTGCGATACTCATCAAACCGTATCACTATATCTTTGTTTAAACTCATCACAGTCAAGAACTAGGCGCTATAAATAGCCCTAGTGTGACTACCCAGCGATCTTCTTGTAGTTCAGGGGTTCTCATGTGATGGTTTGTTTAGTCAGAAGTTTCATGTAAACTGGTAAGACGTAGTTGTCTTTGTTCGAACGTCTGTGGCATAGACAGTGTATTTCCATAGGTCATGGCCGCTTTACCTGTGAAACTGTACCTCGAATCTCTTGACCATGATAGTAAGTAAGCCAAACCCTATACCGATGATAGTGACTGTAAGACTTTGCAACGAAACGTCTCATCTTGCCATTACCAAGACCAAAAACAGTAGATAGTGTCTCTTACGTAAGGAGCAAAGAAAACATACTCAGAGTACTCGTATTAACTACGTATACTATTTCCCCGGACTAAGACATAGTATGATTGCGCTCTATATCCATGCAAGATGATATCAATACTTGTTCCATACATTATATTTTCGCCTTTGAAATAGTATCTCTTGTTCTTCACGCCTGGTTTTCTCAGAAAGCAGTACCATCTGCTTCTTGATCTGGCGTTGGGTCGTAAGACGGGATTCACGGTAGTCAAGGGGGCGTAGTATAGGGCTAGCGTTTTGGTGGTCACTGTCTGAGGTCATGATCGTATCATTGTGCGAGTCAATGATGGCATCGTATTCCGAATCGATCATCATGGGGTCCGCATCATTGGAGCCAGTCATCATGAACAGGGTGTCTCTCGCAGCAGAGATGGTGGCTTGAGAATCTGTAGCCATGCCGCTGTCGAGATCTGACGTTGCGGCGATCTGCATGTTGACGACGGTATTCCTCTGCATATTGACGGTGGAACTGCCCTGCATATCGATAACGGCATCGTTTGGCACGTTGACGACGGTATCATTCCCAGCAATAATGGTCTTGCGAGTCGTTGCAAGCTCGCTCCTGTCCTTCAGAATACCCGCCGCGATGAGGGCGCTCTTGCTTGTTGGAGCCTGAAATGTGTCAGGCGTGGTGCTTCTTGCCATGGTGTCGATGGTATCGTCGAGGACGTCGGCCTTGCGCTTGCTGCGGCGAGTATGCATCATGTCTGCATCATAATCCGTACTGAGGCCCACACTCTTGCCGTCGTGGCTATTGACGCCTTTCCTGCTCGCGACATAGTCCATGTCCGAGACCAAACCATCGAGCTCAACAACCCCACCGTCAAATCCTCTATCATCTGAAAATTCACTCCAGCTAAGGAGCCCAGAATCGTGTCGCATCGTGCGGTCGTCATACTCTATATGCGACTGCCTCGGAAAGCAATCTATCCGACCCAACGACGCAATCTCGAAGCTGCCCATCCCAAGAGCACACCGTCTGCGCGACGACGCACCAAGAGTCCTAGTCAATGCAACAGCAGCCGCCAAGGCTAAATTTAGTCAGTTAAAATGCCTGATGGCCACAAAACTGCTAAGAGACTACATACACCTGCTTTTCTCTGGACTCATGGGTAGCCGCATGGGATTCAGGTGAGAATTGCGTAGACTCGACTTGGTAACGCTGCCTTGAAATGACATAGTGATAAAGAGTTGGATATATGAGGAAGAGTGCATGGGCAGAAGGACAGCGTATAAAGGTAGGTGAGTGCGTTCAGGCCCCGGGCATGATAGGCGAGTGGTGATTCAGGTCGTGTGTAAAACAAGCGGCGGTGAGAGTGCATTGCTCATCCCATGCTGCCGTGTGTAACACAAACACTATTGCAATAGGCGGGTATGCGCAGCCGTGGCTGAGGCGTGGAGATCCTGGATCTGCGTTTGTGTGACCATGTCGGGGACTAGAGGTTGAAGCGCGTAGCATCCAAAACAACTGTGCTTCCTCTTTTAAGATGTTGCGCAAGAGATTGGAAGACTAGCATCACCTTTAATTCAGTCTATACGCTCGTTGACAACTGTATAATTTGTGTGCACCGCTGTGCTAATGCTGATTCTACTTGTCATCGCTTAGCTGACATTCGAATGCAGCCTCCCGGTTCCCGGTGCCCAACTGCTTGCAAAGATACGACACACGCACGTCTAGATCGCCTTCTTTGTTGAGTTTGTAATGAAGATCGTCCCCTGAAATTGGGAGCTGGCGGAACTTGAATTTGCTGGAAACTCGGTTAGCAGTCTCGTACGGAAAGGTGCTCTTCATCCACAGACTTATCTCTGCACGTCCAGAACTACGCTTCGCCATACTGAACGAAACATTATTGCACCAAAACATTGCATGCCTGACGATATTATACATCATATGTTGTTGTTTTTGTTTGCTCCGAAGTAGTAGTGAGTGAAAATAGGATGAAGCCAATAATACATCAACTCGGAGTGTGTCTAATAGCGCGTTTTGTGCGCTCCAAAAGTTGGGAGTTGTAGGACGATATGGTAGTGTAGCAATCGTGTTTGCTGGTGAAAAGTCGGAGAGAAAGGGGGCTGTGTAAGTACTAGTGCGAGGTGGTGATGTAAAGGTTTGAAAGAGTACGGTATTATCTGCGATGTCGGTATTAGGCTTTGCATAGCCTACTGCCTTTGATTTTCCTACGACTTTACTTCTGTCTCCAGCCCTGTCATATCTATTCAAGCGCCATACTCAGCCTTGATCATCGCAGCCGCCTTCTCGGCAACCATATACGTCGGGCCTACTGTATGCGCGTCGGGAATGACTGGAAATACGCTAGCGTCAACGATTCGCAGCCCCTTCACGCCATACACCTTCAATAGCTCATCTACAACACCCCCATCCTCACGCGGCAGCATCGCACATGTACCCGACGCGTGCCACACCTGCACAGCCGTCTCGCGAATGTAATTCATGATATCCTCGTCAGATTGTACACTCATCCCGGGCGCAACTTCGCCATTGTTCGGACCGACAGTGAAGTTGAAGTTTGTGGCATACTGGGCGAGGACCTTGCGTAGATTCTTGAACGAGTACAGGGCAAGGGCCTGATCTTCAGGGGTGGCGTAGTAGTTGGGGTCGATTTGGGGCGGGTCGGCGATGCTGTTAGTCAGCACGGAGACGCTTCCTCGGGACGTAGGTGCTATGATTGCGGCTGTGAAACTGACATAGGATGTATTGTATTCCTTGCTTGAGTAGTAGGGAGTTGGAAGATTTGGGTAGAAGATAGTTTCGTAGAGGTATTCAATGTGTGCCTGGTCTGAGCGGTTTTGGGCTATGATAGCTGAGGCGTTGAGGCTGGCGAGCTGGGCGGACGAAAGTGACTCGAAGCCCCAGGACATGCCGACGGGTGCTGTCAGTGGTCCGGTGGCGTCCTGGTACTCTTCCGTCGCGTGTTGGAGCTTGGCGTAGTCGTGGTAGAGGGACGAGTAAGAGATGGAGGGGTCCGCTTCGGCGATGACGCTCAAGTATATGTGATCCTGCATGCTGTTTCGCGTTAGCGGGGAGAATTGGGTCATTCGAAACTTGTCGATGGGCTTACTTCAAGCCAACGTTCTCGTTGACGACTTTCTGTTGGATCCCGGCTTTTGCGAGTGTTTTAGCGGGGCCAATGCCCTAGACAAGTAAGTTACGGAAGACACGGTTGCTAATGTTCACATACCGACAACATGAGCAGCTGTGGGGTTTTGATAGATCCTGCGCTCATGATGACTTCCTTGTTAGCCGTTGCATTTATCGTCTGCCCGCTGGCGTAATCAATGTATACGACTCCACTCGCGGTCATATCTTCGCCTGTGCCCTCAAGAATGATCTGCTGAACTGGAGATAATTCGAGAACTTTAAGGTTGGGCCTGTCTCGTGCTTGCATGTAGTAGCTATCGTAGCTAGAGCTTCGGCGATATTTTGTATCCATGGTAAACTGTTCTTGCTTTGTACCAACGTTGTTTCCATTGTTCAAGTCCTCAACCCTGATTTCCCTTTGGTCAGCTATCTCGGGGATGTGTCATTTCACCGGAAAACTCACTTGGACAGTCCTATCGCAGAGAGTGACTCAACAAACGCTTCACTTCCGGGATGCGAATAAACATATGGCGGGTAGGTGAGCTGAACTGGACCGCCTGCATATAGTGAAGCATCGTACCCTTGTGCAGTGATGTTCATTGCTGAAGGTTCATTGGCTGTTGTAGACTGTCATCACAACGGTCAGCAACGTAACCACAAAAATGTTTGGGAGGCTAAAGTACCTTCTTGAAGTAAGGAAAAACCTCTTCCCAACTCCATCCGCTGTTCCCTAGTGAAGCCCACAAATCGTAGATACTGGACGAACCTCTCCCATAGGCAAGTCCATTGATTGCAGAACTGCCACCAAGGCACCGTCCTTGGTTGTAGGTGAGCTGGCGGCCGTTCAGGCCCGCCTGCGGGAGTGTGCCATATGCCCAGTCAATTGGAGAGCCCAGGACTTGGAGGTCGGCACCAGGTGTCTGATAGGGAGCGACCGTGCTTGGTTTTCCGCCTGCTTCGAGAACAAGCACAGAGTGTGTCCCATTTTCTGATAGTCGTGTGGCTAGAGCTAGACCTGCTGTACCGCCGCCGACGATGATAAAATCGTAATTGCCGGCATCCTGGCGTTTGGGGTGTTGAAGCGGCGTAGAGGTGGCTCGCGAAAAGATGAGCGTAGCGCAGACGAAGATAACGCTCGAGTGACTCCAGACAGAAGCAACCATGGTGTATCTGAATGTCGATGGAAATTAAGCACAACGAGCAATTTAGAAGACGTGCAGTCCGTTAGGTTCAGGCCGATGTTAGACACGTCCAATGATCTTATACACATCTGCCAGAAGCGGTGAATCGGCCTGCATCGCGAATGCGTGGATGCGATTCCATACGCAGAACGCTCAGCTCAACAAGGCTTTGCCATTGGCTTCCTTTCACACTCATTTCCTCAATGTGAGTTGAAGCATCCGGGACTACGTATGTGGCTTAGAATCGATGTTCGTGCCAATGTAGCTACTGCGCGTTGGGGGAATTGAAGCGAGGCACTAGCTGATCTACCTCGGGAATCTCGTAAAGGACACTGACGGCTGCAGCTGCCACGATAGAAGTGGGGCTAAAAGTTGAGAGATCGGCGACAGGATGTCGGAAGATCTGATCGCCTTGCTGTCGATCGCAAGTAGCTTAGCGACATTCCAGTTTTCTGGGCTTTGCAGGCGTGCGGTTACAGATTAGGCGATCTTCAGACGCGGCACTCGCCTGGATACAGATACAATTGGCCAGCACGTACTCTAATCGTAACGCCAGAACTAGCGTAGAAGAGATAATTTGCAGACTGTAGCGTAGAGCTTAGATTGTTAAAGCCATCTACTGGTGCGAAGGACGTAAAGTGCTGGCAGATGTCAACACTTGGTAAGTTTGTTTGCAAATAAGAATCTACCTAGATCGGGTTGTGCGGGCAATTCAGAAGAGCAAGAAAACATTCAAGGTCATTACAAAATTGAGGCATTGCTGATAAGCTAAACCCTCTGCCAACTACAGCAAGACGCGGTGTTTGCCGGCATCCTCAGCATAGGTGAGCTGATTCAACTTATATGTCTAGTCCAGTAGGCGGCCGGCAAGCTTGGTCTCCGGTGTCACGATGCATGAGTAACACGCTTATCGTGCAGATCAAGTTATGCCGTATGCGTTCTAGGTTGCCGTAATCTGTATAGGGGTTACTCTAGCGCGTGTGCTAGATAAATGAACAAAATTCAACACACGATAAGTGAGTCTGTTGTTGAGGGACAAAGCTCTCCCCTAGTATAAATTGTAGTTCTACGGATCTCACGACTTCTACCAACGTATAGTGAGAGACTTGGAGAACTCTGAAGCGGAATGGGTCTACATGAGAAGTCGACCTATGGACAGCACATTCATTCAATAAACGATAGAAGTGATTAGGTGAGATCTCTTGGATAGAATCATGGCGGCGAAGAATATTTTAAGGCAGTTGTTTCGTCAACAAAATGGTACATCCAGATGAATTAAATTGAGAGCGCAAGTGATAGCATTATGTAGCAACAGCAAAGTCATATAAATGACTCCCTTTGTGGCGAGGAAGCTATGCCTTCAAGAAGCCAACATTGAGCTTTAGCAGAGAATATCAGCTTCCTACTTTTACGCGACGATCCTTGATATCTTGATGTATAGCGGCAGGACAGATCTCTAGCACCGATTGCAATTGCATATCAACATTGGAAGGTTCATAAAGATATAGACAATAGTGAGCAATCTTGCCTCGGGTAGACAAGTCCGATTTGTAAGTTGATGTGTGTGAAAACGCAATCAAAACAGGGCTGCTTTATAGAAGATACTGGAGAACGGTCTGAAGCTCATAATGTAGTATCATTCTCCTGCCCAACCTTGTTCGTACTCCTCCCAACCTACCCTTTCCTACCTGTTCTTATAGATACGCGACATCACGAACAGATCTAGCGCTCTTGACACTACAGCGCTAGATACCTCCTCGCAGTCTTTTTTCTTCAAGCCAATCTTGACTGTCTTGTGTAAAAGCCTCGTTCACAAATTGGCCGAACATGTTATCTATTTGCCCAGAGGCACGCCCATCTTCAGCTCGTCTAGAGGCAACGCCGCGCATCTGATCGCATCGACTTGTTGAGTAGGACGAGCTACACACGTAGGAATATAGGAATGAACCTTACATTTGCGCGTCTATCCCACAACCTCGGCCTATCGACCGGGCCGACCCGCGAGAGCGGTATGTTTCCAGAAACTGAGAGACTAAGCACGAACAGGATGTAGGTCTGCGAGGTGAACATGGAGGATAAAAAGGAGGGAGGTACATTTCTGTCTACAAGTCGTGCTTCTATAGTGTGTTGGAGGCAGCGGAGCTAGAACACAAATTGTTGTATTTTCTCCACTGTGCACACACCACACCAGGGCATCAAGAGACATCCACTGCATTCACGATCGTATGATCTACTTGACGTTGTCTGTCCAGGACATCACGAGCTGAGGTTTGTGGGATGTCGTCATCGACAGCGGATTAGCATTCATCGCATGGGACGCCTTACTTTAGCCCAGACACCGCGTAACGACGAAGTAGCCAGAGGGTGAAGCAAGTCAAGGTGGACAAACTGCAGAAAGCACAAGTAACATGCAGCTTACAATCTCTTGGGCGATGGTCGCATTCAATGTCGCAGCCTGGGCGACTCCCCACCACGCCGTGCAAGACCCCGCACACCAGGATCCATTGCGCGATCCCATCCAACAAGCTACCGATCCCGCATCGCAGTGCGCCCTCGCCGCGCCCCCAGACGTCTTCCTGTCTATCGGCCACGGCTTCCGCTACGCCCAATGCGCGCCCACTACCGGGCTCTTGAACACGCACATGATCTTCGCCGACTTCCGTGACGCACCCGCAACTCCACAGGCAGCGCAAGAAGCATACGACTTCTTCCTCCCCGCAGCCGCCCACTTGTACACCAATACATCCTTCGGTGCGCTGACCTTGCACGTCACAACCGACACCCCGGCGCGCTTCCACCGCATGCCCCGCAACACAACGGCGTATGCGTTCAATCGCAGTCTGAGCGCCGAGGCCCATTACGCATATATCCAAGACGCTGTGGATGCATGGCAGCGCGACGCCGTACTCCCATCTCCGGTACACATCCTGTACATCGTGGCCCCTCCGCACGCGCGTGCCATCTCCTTCTCGCCGACGTATCTTGCGGGTCCCGTACGTTCACGCGCCGGAACGCTGGTTGCGCGTGCCGCCGTGACAATCGGATACGATGCGTTTCACGCCTGGGGGTGGAAGACGCTTGTTCACGAGACGGGGCATTGTCTTTGTCTGCCGGATATGTATGCTGTGGGGGCAGCAGAAGAAGAACATGTGTATGTTGGGGGGTGGGATCTCATGGGACTGATCAGTGGGCGGGCGCCAGACGCCTTTGCGTGGGTGAAGTGGAAATTGGGGTGGCTGCGGAATGAAAACATGGCGTGTGTTGTGGAGAAAGGGACGTATAACTTTTCGCTGCGAGCGGTCGAGGTGCAGGGAGAAAATGAAGAGGCATATGCAGCTGTTGTAGTCAGGTTGAGTGAGAGTGTTGCGCTTGTTGTGGAGCGCAGGGCGCGCCTGGGTGTTGATATGCACATGTGTAAGGAAGGAGTGTTGCTTTACATTGTTGACACACGCGTCGAGTCTGGAGAGGGCCCAGTGAGGGTGCTCGACACGTCGCTGGCGGGATCAGAGGCGCAATTGGGTAAGTGTGAGACGGAGAAAATGGGCGGTGCACCGTTGTCAGAGGTAGGAGATACATTTACTGTAGTAAAGCTGGGCATATCTGTTACAGTAGAGATTGTTTATGATGACCCTGTCGGGGTTGCGGGTGCTTGGGGCGTAAGAGTAGAGAGGGTATAGCGATATTGATTGATGTAGCAGGTAAGCTGTACAATGAATTTGTTTCACCATACTGCTAATATGTGAAGTAGAGCGAAAATAACAAGTACGCGTTGTGGTGTACGAGCCCACCGACCGATAAGCCTGCTAGCCTTCCATCTACTCAAGATACCGGCTTCGGGACTGCCTGACTTCTGCATGGCCGAATTCAGAGTCGGGTCTGGACATCCATGACGTTGCAGTAGGGTCGAGGATCTTCAAAGGCAACGTTCCGCACGTTGGAGCAACCGAAGCTCGAGTTATCTGAAACGTCCTGGAGGTGCCCAAGAGATCGAAAGTAGCTACATGAAAGCCTCAGCAGGCCTTCGACGGTTCGACATATCGCAAATTTGAATGCCTCAGTAAGCAACGTCAAGTAAAACTTGATATATGTTGAACGCATGAGAACACAACCTCGACAGCCAACACGTTGCTGGGACATGGACGACTTGTCTTACAATGTTACTGCAACCTCCCAGTGTACGAGCGATGTACTAGTTTCGATTACCAATTTCCTTGCCAGTTACCACATCCCAAGCCAAAAATAGGACAGCATCAAACTTTTGGACTGATGGGGCCTGTCCGCCGTGGTAGTCTGAGGGCTTGAAATGTATGCGTTTCAAGAAAACTCAGCAGACCTCGATCAGCCAATTAGCATTGTCCTCATTTCCCTTGCTATCAAAACAACATTCTTTGTGACGCCAAAAGGAAGTCTAGCCCAAGCTCTACGTTTTTGCTTACTTACTTGGACTCATCAGCTGCTCAATGCTTTCTTGCCCTCACAGTATGTTCTGCAACGTCCAGTATACGAGTTGGTCTTGACCCACTATATAGCGTCCCATTTAGTTCGCCCTCGTCCCTTTTGACGCGGACTACACGACCCGAAGAAGACACTGCAGCTGTACAATCTATCACACGGTTCGAACGCTGGGGAAGCCATGCGCGATTGTGGAGAAACGCAGGCATGGTTCGCGGAACGTGGTGGCTGCGTTGGCGCAGTGCGCCTTCCACCATAGACGGTTCTCGTGGTCTACCAGGATTCAATACTCGTCTCATATCACTCTCATTTCAGTATTGTACTGCCAAACGAGGCGGCTGATCATTTGGGCTGTGGCGATAATGATACAAGCGAAGCAGATCCCGTCACGCCCAGCGAAGATGTCGAGCTATATAGCCATCAGATCTCGCGACAACATACGGACAGTCCGCCTTCAATGCCCTCAAGTCGAGAATCGCCGTTATGAAGCTCTGCTGCTCCTCTGACAAGCGCAGTATCTGCGCACACCATCTTTTAGAAGGTCACCGTCAATGGCGTGGATCAGGGCCAGCTCAAGGCTGTACGAGCTCCAGACTCCGACTATCCCATTCAAAATGTGAATGATGAAGCTTTTACTTGCAATAAAGGCATCACTCATACCTAGAGCACTGTTATCACAGTCCCTGCAGGTGCTAAGGTCGAAACCTGGAGGGGCCTTGTTATCGGTAGACCTCAGAGCGCGAACGACCCCGATAATCCGATCGCGAAAAGCCACAAGGGTGAGCAGATGTGACCAGACTCAATGACAAGGTTGCTGACAATTCCAAGGGCCGATCCAACACTACCTGGCAAAGGTCAACAACGCCGCAACAACCGGCACTACTGGCCTCCAGTGGTCCAAGGTTGCTCATGATGGTCTTGCCAATGGCAAATGGGCAGTGGACACCATAATACAGGATGGCGGCTAGCACTACTTCACCATGCCGACTTGCATTGCGCCTGGCGACTACCTCATGCGCGTCGAGCTCCTTGCGTTGCACAGTGCTTCGAAGCAAGGTATGCGATTGGGCGGTTGGTACCAAATTCATTGCTAACGGTTTTATAGGCGAAGCCCAGTTCTACAGGGAGTGCGCACAGATTCGTGAGCTTAACACCACAACTACTACGGTCAAGTCCACACACTAGTCATTGTCTGAAAAGGTCCACCCGCCGATGTTGACGAAGATTTCGAGGTCTGGCTTCAGGTCCTTTAGTGACATTACGTCTTGAAACATGCTCACTGGCGTCTGGGCATCCAATGGTCGTAATCTCAAAGCTGTTTGGATCGATGTAGGCGATGGCATGGTCGACGTGTGTGAGAGAGTCGACTATGTGACTAGTGTAAGTACGGAACATGAAGAATCGCTCGGGTGAGATTCACAAGGAAGATCCGACGCCGGAGGGTTGTGACAATCTGATCAGGCATTCCAGACTTCCCAGTACCCAATCACTAGAGAAGTAGGTTTGCAAGGGCATATACAGTCAGGTCAGTCTGTGTCCTTACCGCAATCGTCAACCTTGCCTCCCCCACCGAAAAGTTTTGGATGTTCCATGCAATAGAACTGACAATTCTTCGTGCAGAAGTCTGCCCATGCGATTAACAACCAAACGCCGCGTGACATGACCTATACGGCAGTATCTCGCTGGCCTTCGACATCTCCTTGGATGACTTCTATTTCCTCCACCCTCAAGTCGATGACAAGTGCTCTAACTTGTGGCTGGAGACGTCCTGTTGCGTCCGACTTATCGGCAACGTGGCCACGTACTCTGGCTTTCCAACGCCAACGCCAGGCACTGTCTACCCTCAGCCATCGCCAACGCCGACATCTGCGCCTCCACTAATTGTGACAGACCATCTATGGTCGACCGCAGCAGGCACGCTGAACGACTGTGAGATCTACCTTGGTGCATTCTTCAAATCGCTTTCAAGTGCAATAGGTGTTGATGAGATCAACTTGTGTAATATATAGGCTGCACAGGCTGGTATCACATTAATAGCATGGAACCCAAGCTTTTCGGCAGATAATTGCGTGTCTCAGGAGGGTAAGAGCTACTGCATCCTGAGATGTAAGTCGCGAACAATAGTCTCCTAATACCAATGGAATGTCTCTGCATGTTCACTTTGCTAACTCTTTTTGCGCAACATTTGGCAAGTTCGGCTACTCCATCAAGCAATTCGATCCCTGCGTCTACCGCCTCAACGATCACGACTTCAGACTCGCCTACAAGCACAGGCGGAGGCGTGCCTCCACTAACTCAAGCCCCAGACAGTGCAAATCCATCGTTCAAGGAATGATACGTTGTTGTCGCAGGTGACGGCCGTTAGGCAATCGCGAATACAGCAGGAATCGCGCTTGAAGACTTCTATAAATAGATTCCGGGCGTCAGAGGATGTGCCTACTTGAGACCAGATTATGCTGTCTGCATAGGGGTTCGATCAGACCAGGTTTGCCACTGATCTCGTCTATACCTCCATCAATTAGCTCATAAGCACAAATTGCTCGCACTATCAACTTCCACAGTCTTGAAATGCAAGTGCGGGTCTACGAACCTTGCACGCCTTGGAAGTAATAGTCATCGCGAGCAACAAACGTTGAAGGCATGTGCACAACTAGGGACCCTTGTTTGCCTAAGCCTTGTCGAATGTGGTTAAGCGTGATCTACTTTTGCGCATTGCAGAAAACCCGCTTACAAAAGTTGTCAGTTGTCCCTGCACATGCCACATCGCTGTTTATTGTGCGACTGCTGGTACAGTGTTTGTCTCTCCAGCAACGTACGCAACATTTCCTGCGTATTAACCACTCGAGCCTTTTCACGCTCTCGTGCATTCAACATCAAACTCCAGTTTTTCTCGATTTTAAGGCCCGGCCTTACACACCTCCTGTGGGGTACCAGCGCACCATGTCGTCAGCCGACTCCCTCGAGACTGCTGAAGTCCTGAGGCGATTGCAAGAGGACATGGCACTCCGAAGGCCGAGGTCTCCGAAGCAATACCATTGCACCGAAGACAGTCTTGCACACTCTGACTTACGACCAAACACCCAATGGGGTTTCGTAATCGTCCGCGCAGTCTATGGTCCTTCCAGCGATGCGCCGTGGGCCCAGTTGCTCGAACTTTTTCGCGCGAATGTCTCGGAGACCTTAAGGCTGGAACATCATCTGGAGCTGCTTCCCCGTCACGAGATAACGATTATCGAGGACGAAGCAACACTTGCTGGCGCGGATTCGTACGCCGCACGCCGCGCATTTCGCGCTTGGGTAGCCGCTGATCTGCCCCAACGGCTCCGCGACGACTGCCTGGAAGAGTTGGGCGGACTTACGCGGGTTCGTGACAAATTACTCAGCAATGACGCACATAGTGCGCGCAACACGACCCATCCTGCGAGTATTGTGCCTCCTCGATGGGAGTACTGCTTATTCGTGGACCAAGATTGCTTGCGCTCGGTGGAGAAAGGGCCTGAGGATCCGGACTTGAAAGACCCAGCATTGAAGATTCTAACTACGGACTGGGAGCTAGAAGAAGTAGAGGTGCCCACGGAGGAATTCACTAGGGACTGGGATGGCGGCGAGACTGATAATGGCGCCGAAGAGGTTGGGTGGATGTACATGGACATGACAGATTATGTCGCGGTGTACGATCGTTTGATTTCTATATTCGCTTGGCATGAGTATTATGAACGGCCCTACAAAAGCTACGTGGAAGATTCGAACTAAGCATAATGTGGCAGGTTCTGTACGCCATGCGAGGTAGTAGATATCATAACTCCTCCGACAAGCGACGTGCAATATGGGCGCCAGGCTATCAATAATATCTGAAGTGCTGCCGCGTCTGCATCCCGCACTCTTGCACTGCGACTGGAGCCTTACCCATTCCTTCAGGAGCATTTGAATTGCATTCTGATTAGTTTCCATGATTAACGACATTATACTCTGCTCAAAGTTCGCAGGACTATTATACAACAGCACAGTCCATAAATAAGCAATCGCGGGCATCAGAGCACGAGCTGCACAGTAGATACTAACCTAGAAGACGCCAGGACCTGCACCAATTAAGTCAATATAGTCCATAGCATCTCAATCTTGAGTCGCTCTAATTAGTAAATCGCTCTTGTTTTACATATTCGAACGCACGTTAAACACTTCTCGCGCGATAGCCGCAGTATTAAACGCATTACACGGCAAATAAGAATCCCAGCTACACAGAAACTAGACATCTTTCAGATAAGACCTCTTCAACTTAAGACTAAACAACAGTATTGTCATAAGGTGGGGTAGATTTTGTATTTTAGTATCAACCTTGGCAATTGCAATTGCCCTGCCGCTTTTGTCTCAAAGGGTTACCCTAACTCACTGCGAGTCGGACAATAGCTAACGGTCGTCAAGACTTGGCTGCAACACACGAACACAAGGCAGATCATAACCCCTTCTGCGCGACACGTAAGCAAGTTGAGTAAGAAAGTTCAGGATACATCTCGAACACAATAGAGGATTCGAGTACTTAATCTCGCTTCACTAGAAAAGTAGCGCTGCTAAGGCACGCTGCTTTACCCTAATTGGACAACCCACCTATCAGCGCTACTCTTTCGAGTGCGTCTTGCGAACTCCTTTGTTGAAATTCGAAATATCCCTGGCCTAGCCTACTAGACGTCCTTGGTTATAGGTGTACCTGCTTTAGTACAGATTTATGTACAAACATGTGTACTGTGATTAGACGCCGTTCGGTTTCGTGTGCGCATATATCGCCGTTCCATGTATCTCGGCGTTTCTCGAGGGGCACATTCGCATTCAGTTAGCTCAGGACCTGGTAGCATGTCGAATTCATTCCGGAAGCCTCGAGCTCCGATATGGCGGTACAGCCGCCCAACTCGTCGGAATTCAGGAACCACTCAATACCTAGTTACTTTCCGAAATGACTGACAGGAATCAGGCAAGTACCCCGCGAGGAGGCTTACTGAATTATATGGTTTGGCGCTATGGCTGTCAACCGAGTAATTATATTGCAAAATGTCCTCGGGCACCATGCTATGTCTCAGGTTTATACGACACCCTGTCTTCACCTTGTTCTGGCAGCTCTGCGATCCTGCCCCTGCAAGAGAGCGGCTATAGAGTTAGACTTCCGAGGTTGCGATAGACCACAAAGGATGAAGTTAGATGTCAAAGATCTAGAGAAGCTCGGACTATGTAGTCGACTAGAGACTTTCAGCACGGCACAGCATCACCACAGCTACTACAACAATGTCGGTCTAATAGCAACATACACCACACAATCTTAATCCTTTGGTTCTCTAGGGGCTCAGATTCACGCCGCACTAACAATCGTGATCGAAAAGCACGCTTTCCTTCCCGCTATTCCGTTGAACGAGGACAAGTCACACCCGCATGTGTACTTCGCTTGCCTTCCATCAATCGACCTACGACCCTGCATTGAGTTTCAGCGGCGCAAGAAACCCTTCCCACAACATGGAGAGCCGGGCCAAGAGTTAGATGCATTGTTGACGAACCAACATAACCGCAGCTTCAAGGACGATATTGGGACGAGGCCTTTCTGGCGGCTTCCGGTACTACTATCACTATCCAATCCTGCGACATTTACTGCTGCCTAGATGTTCTATCATGCACTTGGTGACGGCGCTTCAGCCATTTTGGTCCACGGTACATTCCTTGCGGGTTTAAATTCACTTGGACTGAATCTAAATATAAGCCCGTTTGTTACATTACCATTACTTTTATTCCGGCCTCCTTTTGAAACACTACATCTCATGTTCGTATCATGGTCCTACTTCCTCAAAGGAGTGAAAATATCGCTTCTCCTATCGGTCTTCGCCCCACGCCCAGCAAAAATACGGACAGGCAATGACCTTCCCGCGACCACACCTTCCCCACCGAAATTCAAGTTCTACACCTTCGTACTTTCGTCCAGCACAACCAAGCAGCTTGTACTCATCAGCCGACAAAACGGCGCCAGCGTGACATCGACCCTCCAATGCCTCCTGGCCGCCTCCCTCTTCGACAACCTGCCCGCCACCGATTACGACAAGGTGAATATCACCGGCCCAATGTCCATGCGGCGCTTCCTTCAAGACTTCCCAGAAGGCCAAATGACCAACGCCATTATGCCCTACAAATACGTACACGAGCGTCTCGCCCAAAATTCTGAAAGCGCAGCACTGACAGCAACATACTCTTATACTTCTTCTGGTCCCAGGCCCGCGCCGTGAAATCCGTCATCCAGACTGAACTCGCCAAAGAAGGTCGAGAGACAATAATATTGCGCTGCTGAAGTACGTCTCCAAAATGCACAAATTTTTTTACAGCGACGCTGGGATCGCCGCGCGCGATCAGCGCCGAACTGTCGAGTATTGACGTGCACAAGTCGAATGTGAAAGAAGTCGAAATTGGAAAGTGGGACATTGGCAGGATGGTGTTTGGTCAATGTGCAAACTGGACTAGTGGGCCGTTTGGCGTGAATGTTGTTACGGGCGGAGATGGGTGTGCGAGAGTGAACTTTTGCTGGTTTAAGGGGGGTATAGAAGAGGAGCTTGTGGGCAAGGTGGTAATAGGGCTGAGGAACGGCGTTGAGGAGTTTGTGAGAGAGGTTGCGGTGGGTAGTAGGGACAACTGAGCGTGGTAAGGGGTGTATGTAACGCGAGGAGGGAAACAAAGATGCAACGGAACGAGTATATAGATGTGCACACAACTGGCGCGTGTATTTCAAGGTGGAAAATGAATATGAAATGATGTTATTATCTGCCGCATAGAAACTAAAGACTTTGCTGCAGTGTGTGGAACTCCACTAACCCGAATAATCAATATCTCGTCCTTATGTGTAGAACCAACTCCGTAATACTCCACGCAACCCCAGAAGTATATAAGTTTCTCACTCAAAACCGAAGCTCACGTTCCTATACCCTCTCACTCGCTGTTGTTCACTTCCTCCCGCAGTAGTTACACCTTTGATACTCCCACACCTCTTGGCCACGCGTCCTCATTTGTCCCTGACCATAGTATAGCGCATATGCGGCATTCGTACTCTCATAGTGCTACTTGGCATGACGCTCAATGGACTCCCAGATGCTGCGGGCTTTGCTTGATGATGTGGACGTGATGGTGATGGTTCTGATAATAGACTGCGAGTCCTTTGCAGGGTCGATGGATGTGCACATGGTGTTTAATATAGAGACAGACATTATAGTGGTTATTGGCTACTTGGTAGGTAGGTAAGAGAAGCGATTTTGTTTTATAGGAGTGATCGGTGATTTTTGCAGTTGTGATGAAGAGCGCGGCTGCTGAGTGAGATGTATTATTGTGCTGATAAGGACGGCTGTGTGATATTTGCTGAAAGCTTATATGCTCTTTGAAGCACTAATAGATGCTCGCGATGTCTATTGTTGGAGTACGTCACGGATGGTTCCGTCGAGCTCGAGATCACAGCCGATGTAGCCTTGTTGGTATGCCAAAAGTAACTTCACTTAGCCCTCTACTGAGATTTGCGACTTGGTGAGACTGTGTGCTGGATTGCGCTGAGATGGTCATGCTGAACGCGGTCGAGGCAATGGCTTTGGTGAGGCGGAGTAAACGCACCATCTGGGACGCGGTGAGATAGCTTGCATTAGCAGCTGCAATAGGTTTGTGGCTTTCCTCGCAAAGCTGACCCTATCCTTTATACCATAACCACAAGCGTCGCCGACATCGCCTGACTCCCTCGTCACGCACGCCTTGTGATGAAAAAGTGAGCTTTGAAACCAGCCCTCACGCCTTTCATGTCAAAAGCTCCCGTCGTGTTTGGACCAGCATTGTGCCATGTGCAACCAATGGCAGGCGTTGCGCAAGCCACATTGGGCTGTTTGCGGAAGCGTCGGGGAGCTGTCTCAGTGTATTTTCCGGGAAGTAAAGCCACAAACGCAGTCACAGTCATACTGCGCGTCGACAAGAACGTGATCTTGAAATGCGATGAGCAGTATCTATTTGTTGGTTAGCCAACTCAAGCTAGAGAACGTTATCGGTCAACTTGCAGACAACTGAAGAAACGTGGCGCATAGATTGCGCGAGTAAACCGAAGTTTTACAAGTTGCTCCTCGCGCCCTGCGGGCGAAAGCCCGCCCAAACCATTGATGAGTGGGGAACTCTATTCAGCGCAACACATTGGTGATCGATAGTCGCGCCCTGCACATGTCGATATGGAGTCAGACGATGACTCCGGCATTCACAGTTCTTGGATCGATACATTTGAAGTGGGTGTCCGTGTCCGAGCCCGGCAGTGTCTTCTGAGAACAGATAGCTCGTTAAGGCCGAGCCGGATGAAATCACGATGGAGTCAATGGTGGCTCTGTTAACAGTAAAGTACCAACGAACATCGTTTTATACGCTTCTAACGGGTAATCTAATCAGTTGTTGACACCTACGGCTTGATAACAGTCGCGTATGACAACGTGTTGTCCATGAAGAACGTCGCACTCGGTGCACTCGAAAATTCGGGATTCGTCACATTGCAGAGTTTTGTGAAGCTCCCTGCGTCTTCCAGCTTGCCCTGTAGGATGCTCTGATACTTCTCCAGTGGACACGACAAGCCTGGTCCATCTGTGCATCCAACGACCGGATACACGACTTCGTTCAGTCGAATGCGCATGTACGCCTGTCGTCGCGCGTCCTTGGTATACCCTCCCGTGGAGTTCAAGGATCCGGCCGGGCAAAACAAACGTTCGAACGCAACAGTACCTCGCATAGGAACAAGGCGGCTCGCCCTAAATTTTCGATTCGGAACTGTAGTGTTCCCAGGAAGTTGAGGTTCGTCATCAAAGACACCAAGAGCCGCGATAATTTGATTAATTTGCCCGTCGTTCGAGAAGGCTGCCATTATCTTTGGGGGAACGAAGCTAGAGTTACCCGTGTTGTACGTTGCGTTAGGCCCGTCAATGAAACGTTGCGCGACCATCTCAACTATCGGGAGCATTTGATACCTCTCGATATCGGATCCGAGGCCGTTGCCATACCAATATCGCAGGTCCTGAGCGTACTCATACTGCAGGATCTCCTTCTCAGTAAAAAGCTCGCAAAACGGACTTCGATGGCCAGTGATTTGCGTCTCGAAGCCACACAGATAGGGGATGATTGAAACTTCCCATTGAGTGAAGTTGAATGAGCCCTGAATTTTCGCATTCAACCTGGAGCGAATTGGAGGCAGATAGATCGCATCCCACTGGTCTTTGTATGGGCTGCCTCCCTCGTCGTTGTAGGCTTTGCAAAGATCGCTTGTCGCAAGCGAGTTCATCCATGACGTGGGATCGCTACTGTTGAGCGCATATATCGTAGTAAGATCAGTGGCGTTTGGGCCAACGAACCCTTGCGCGTACAGTCGTGCGCTGTCGCGTACGCGCGGGCTCGACTTGTACCAATTGGCCCACATGGTAAAGGGACTGTTGTACTCGTAGAGGTCTGGATAACGGAGCCGCCATGTGGAGCCCATGTCATGGAGCTCCTTGTAGCCAGTTGGGGAAATATGAGCGATTTGCCGCTCTGGATGAAGTAGTACAGGTTTCCACGTCTTGAGAAAGTCAAGATTCTTGTCAGTAACATTGAAAGTCCCAGCTGCTTGTATCCTCTGGTACAGATCAAGCCATTCGTTATATGCGCCAGTGTCTGGATAACGGCTGCCATGTCGCGAGAAGAAAGCGGCCATGTCAACCTGACAACCTGCAGGCACTTCAGACGAAAGGCCGGTCACCTCGGGACCTGTGTGAAATCGTCAACATCGTGACATAACGCAGTACATATATAGCGATCGTACCTGGAAACCATTGTCCGTTGCCTCCAAGGTGGTGCAAGATGTTGAAGTCCTCCCCAGTTACAGAGCCAACCGCGAAAACTGCCACCAATAACTTAACAACAGAGGGCATTGTCTCAAGGGTACAGATTTCTGGGCTGGTACTGTAATAGATTAACCCCAGATGTATTGTCGCGACCCCGCCGTTACGTGATTTACCCCGCTATCGCGAAAACTTATAGCTAAGATAGCAAACACACAAAAGTTACTTACTAAAGTATAGTACTAGATAAACAGAATATTTTATCTAGTAATAAAAGAAGTATTATAATTTCTATATAAATTAGGTAAGTAGATATTAGGTTAATATCTAGTAATTATACTCTATACTAATTTATTTTTATATTATAGAGTTTAACTAAAGTCTACTAACTTACTTTACTACTATTATATAGCTTAACTAAAGTTTAACAAAACTATAATATTATTATAGTAAAGTTTACTAATTAACCTAGAAATATTAGGTTATTAATTATTAACCTAAAAGTATATAAAAATAGGTACGTACATACTAAGCTAGTACCTAAAATCTAAAACTAAAAATTAAGTAGATATAATATCTAGACGCAAAAACTACCTAGACGTAATATATATTAGTAAAAGTTAATTTTAATAGGCTATATCTAGAATATTCTTTTCTTTAGTAGTCTAGCTAGGTAGCTATTTTTCTATATTTAAGTTCCTTTATAAGACTAAAGTCTTTTTAGTATATATTAAGGTATATAATAGTATTTATAGTTATAATAACTAGCTTATTCTTAATAGGTATTTAGCTTAGTAATATTTACCTAGGTTATAGAAGTACTTTATAAACTTAAGCTTTCTAGTTAGCCTAGTTACTTCTAGTACTTCTAGTATAAACTTTACTACTACTACTTCTATTACTCTTATTATTTCTATTATAACTATTATAACTATTATAACTATTATAACTATTACTACTATTATAACTATTACTTTAGCTATTACTATTTTCTTTATCTCTTTTATAACTTTTATTATTACTATCTTCTCTATCTTCTTTATCTTCTTTATTACTACTATACTTACTATTACTACTATTAGTACTATTATAATAGCTATTACTAGCTTATAAGTCTTAATAGCCTATATATTTCTTAAAGTACTATTAGTTTTAACTATTAAGGCTATCTACTTAATTTAACTAATTTAGGAAATATTATATTAATAATTAAGCCTATTTTATTTTCTTTACTCTTAACCTCTTACTTACTTAACTATTTAGGTAATACTTTATTATATAAGAGTTAATCTTATTTATTAAGACTATATAGCTTTACTAATTAAACTATACTATATAGTTAACTAGAGTTCTTAACTATAACTTACTATATAACCTAAAGTATATTACGTATCTTAAAAGATCTAAAGGCTCTTTCTACTCTTATAAAACGTAATAGTATTATTACTCTAAATATAGTTTATAGCTAAGATAATTAAGTAAGATTTTATTATATTTAAAAGATATTATAAGAAATAACTCTATTTATTATATTATATTAGTTAGTTTTATAGTTTCTATTTTATTTTCTTTATCCTCTACTAACTCTTATTCTATAGCTTTAGCTATATATAGTTTATCTCTTAGAGAATATAAGTTAGATTTACTTCTTTTTAAAGTAACTAGCTTATACTCTTTCTCTTTCTTAGTATATACTTAAGTATATTTCTATTATACTAGTATTTACTCTAGTATTAATAGCTCCTAATAGTTTATTTCTTTATAAAAATAAACTTCTTTTTCTTTACTTAGCTAGACTATATACTAACTTATTAATAATATAAATATTATATTAGTAAATATTATAACTTATAGAAGATATTTATTAAATAGGTAGAGTTAAATAATAAGCTAAATTATTATTAGTTTATATTTTATATCTATTTAAGTACTATATATACTTTTTCTTTTTATATCTACTTTATTCTTTTTAGTTTTAGTATATTACCCTTCTTAAGTAAGTTATACTTAAGACTCTTTTACTTCTCTTTATTCTTAATATTTATAAGAAGGTTATTAATACTATAATAACTTTACTTACTTTAATAGTAACAGTTATAATATTTCTATAATAATATATAATATATAGTTTTATAATCTTCTTAATTTAATAATTAAGGAGCCTAATCTATACTTTAGGGTATACCTTCTATATTTATTTAATAGCGTAATAAGGACCTAAAATAATAAGCTTTAACTTATAAAGTAAAGTTTAATATACCTTTAAGTAGGTTACTTATACCTTCTATAGTAACCTGTTTTTTATCTAGGTTATATTTATTAATAGTATAATATATATAGTATTCTACCTATATAACTATTAGATCTAAGATATCTTTTACCTAAAAGCTTAATACTTTATAGTTAGTAAGTACCTATCTTAATTTACCTTTCTAAAATATAGCTACTAATATTATAATAAACCTAATATTCTTAAATTAACCTAATCTAGGCTATTAAAGTTAGTAATATTTAGTTACTATACTATAATAGTATATACTATACTTAGATTAGGAAATAAGAATCTAAAGTCTAATATTAATTCTATTAGAGTTTATCTTTATAACTAAGGGTTTATAAGTAAATAGGCTGCTATAATATTATTTAAACTACTTATATAATATAGGTATATATCTTATTAATATTATCTATAAGCTTAGTAAATTAGTATAATTACTCTTAATAGTATAGGTAAGACTTATGTTTCTTACTATATACCTATCTAGTTCTTTAGTAATATTATTTCTTAACTTAATTACTATTTACTTTCTAGCTTCTATCTAGTAAGTATATAAGAAATTCTATAAGAAAGGCTAGTCTAAGTCTATTTAGAGGTATAATTAATTATTATTTATCTATAATAAATTATCTCTAGCTAATCTCTCTATTATAATTATCTTATACGTAAATATAGTCTATTTATTAGCGCTATAAAAAACTTTTATAGTAGTATATTATTTTACTCTATTCTATAGAAACGTCTCTATACTTTATAGTTATATTAATAGTATTTAGTTTACGTATTTATTCTTTAATCTCTTTAATTATAACTTTCTTCTATAGTACCTTAATACTATATATATTATATTAATAGTAGTAGAGAACTAAGTCTATATATATTAGAATTAGAGATTTTAATTTAAAATTCTTATAGAATAGGTATATACACAATATATATTACTAGTGTAAAATTTAAAAGTTAAGATATAAAAGTTTACTTTTAACTAGGTAAAATTTAAAAGTTAAGATATAAAAGTCTACTTCTAACCTAGTAAAATTTAAAAGTTAAGATATAAAAGTCTACCTCTAACCTAGTAAAATTTTAAAGGTAATATACTAAAGTCTACTTCTAACTAGGTAAAATTCAAAAGCTAAGATATAAAAGTCTTCTCCTAACCTAGTAAAAGTTAAAAGTTAAGATATAAAAGTTTACTTCTAATATAGTAAAATATATAAGTTAAAAGGCAGAAGTTAAGATATAAAAGTGTACCTTTAATATAGTAAAATTTAAAAGTTAAGATATAAAAGTCTACCTTTAACCTAGTAAAGTTTAAAAGTTAAGATATAAAAGTATACTCTTAGCCTAGCAAAATACATAAGTTAAAAGGTAAAAGTTAGAATATAATAGTTTACTTTTAACCTAGTAAGATTTAAGAGTTAAGATATAAAAGTAAACTAAAGAAAGTAAAATAATTTTAACCTATAATAATACTAGAAATACCTTTTCCTATACTAGAACATTTAAAACGCAAGTTTAAATATAATAATAATAATAAAGGTAGAGTAATAATTTAATATAACTTTACTTTACTAACCTAGTCTTAACTTATTAAACTCTAAGGTAAAAGTATTAGCTAATAAAACTATACCTATATTAAGTACCTTTTTTATTTTACTTTACTATATAATTCTTTTCTTTCTTTTTTATACCTTATACCTGTTTCTAACCTACCTTCTCTATTAGCCTATTTTAACTACTACTATATACCTATAGAGGTAATTAATCTAACTAGATTAGATAATAAATCTAGCTATAAAAATTAAGCTTTTTTACTAGAAGATAAAGAAAAGTTTAAAGATATTAAGCTAGAAGACTATAGTATTAGCCTAGACTCTAAATATAAAGTAGATAGTAATAGTAGCTATAAGTAAAAGCTTATAATATTTTAGCAGAATTATAAGTAGCTTTTACTAATACTAGCTATATTCTAACTTTACTATAATATAAAATTACTCTAAAGCTAAACTTTCTACAGACGTCTAAATATAAAATACCTAAATTATAAAAATATACTATGTAACTATAATCTAGAACTTTATAATACCTAAGTTAATTTAAAATCTCTCTATTACTATAAACTAGAGTAATAATTTTATATTTCTTAAGATTACCTACTTTATTTCTAAAGTGCTATATATAATTAGCTATACTATATATAATAAACTAGCCTCTATTATCTTAGACCCTATCTAGTGTAGTAATAACGTATACATAGTATAGGAGCTTATATCTACCTCTTTAATAATTAATTCTAAAGATATTATTAATAAGCTATTTATTCTTAATTATTATTATTTCTTTATAGTAGTATTTTAGTATATAAAAGAAATTCTTTTTGTACTTACTAAGTCCTACTAATATAAGCTATACTAATATTAATATAGTTTTTTTTAATATTACTATTATATATTCTAGCTTAAGTTTAACCTAGAATACTAGGTATTTAGACTATTAGAGTATATTAACTACTTTACTAATAGGTAGTAGTATCTCTAGGTAACACCTAAACTATTAGTACCTATAGATATTAAGTATATAAAGTATAAAGAGAAGGTATATAGGTATAATAAGAATAGTAAAGAAGAAAGTAGTACTAAATATAAGAATAATAGTAAGCCTAAGCGCAAGTAGAACGCGTATTAGAATAATCTATAAGTAGGCTATAGTAAAATTAATAGCTACTATATCTCTAATAAAGTAGATTATAAAATTCTATATTATAATTCTTACCTATATTATCTATTATTTCTCTTATACTACTTTTACTCTTCTTCTATTTTATACTTATTATACTTATTATTCTTATTATACTTATTCTTATTATACCTATTA